CCTTGCCCAGTTCTCCATCTCTGTACCTTTCACCACTTTCCGTGACAGATGTCCACTGCCAACCCCCTGTATCAGGGGTTCTTAAGTTGACATCCATGAATCTCCCCCAAAATTATTTGCAGAATGTAGTGTGTGTTTGAATGTGTCTTGCCAGGTTAAAAGGTAACAGATTTCTACCCAGAAAAACTTCTAAATAAACCCTGCTCTGAAAAATATACATCGGCCAGATACCCAGTAAATACCCATCAGTCGGACGCTTCTGGCCCCCAGAGCTGCCAGGTGCCCAGTGGTTTAAAAGAAAATTAAAAGGCCTCCCCCTTTGTCTCTGAGATATGCATACAAGGCCCTGCCAGCCTGCAGTTTTCCTTCCACCCCCGTGCAAGGCAGCTAACCTGCTATCTTTCATATGCAAAAATGATGATCACACAGTATCCAAGGGACCTGCCTTCTGAGTGGCTGTTGTGCTGCTGGGTAGGTCTCACAGAGCCACACGTACTCTTCCAATCTCTTATATCCAGGCATGTGTGTTTATGTGTGAAAGGTAGGAACCAGGGCCTGAAATTGGGGAACACTGAATTTCATGATATCTGAACTCAGAACTATGATTTTTTCTAAAAAAATACTTTTTTCTCACTAAAAATTGTGTGTATATATACTTACACATATCACATATAAAGTTGTCTGTTTATTTATTAAAGGAAATTTAGGCTATGTAAATAAAATTTACCTCTCATCTGACTACCACCACCCCAACGAACAGTTGCTAACACCTGGCTTATAGTCTCCCCATTTACTATGTACGACATTTACTAAGCACTTACTGTGTGCCAGCCATTTACTATGCTCCAGGCTCTACAAGCACTATCGTGTTAATCTCTAAGATTGATTGACATTTTTCTTTTTTTTTTTTTTTGAGACAGAGCCTCAAGCTGTCCCCCTGGGTAGGGTGCCGTGGCATTACAGCTCACAGCATCCTCCAACTCCTGGGCTCAAGCGAGTCTCCTGCCTCCGCCTCCCAAGTAGCTGGGACCACAGGCGCCCGCCACAATGCCCGGCTATTTTTTGGTTGCAGCCGTCATTGTTGTTTTGGCGGGTCTGGGCTGGGGATTCGAACCCGCCACCTTAGGTGTACGTGGCTGGCGCCTTAGCCGGTTGAGCTATAGGTGCCGAGCCTGATTGACATTTTTCATCTTTTTAGAGACACATTTATCCTTTCTTAATTTTTAGGCCAGTGATATCATGCTGTTTTGGAACTTTCCCTTTCTCCATACCATTGAAATTTCTTCCCATGTTATTAAATATTCACCAACAGAGTCATTTATAATGGCTATATGATGTTTTATTGCAAGCAGGTCCCATGCTTCTCAGACTAGGGTGCATATACCCCTGAGGGCAACGCCACAGGATAGATGTCACCATCTTCCTGAAACATAAATTTAATTAGAAGCTTTAGGAGGGGGATAAAAACATAATTTTAATATCAGAATGAGTACAGGTATGTCATAGTGTAGAATACAGAAAACACCCATCTATCTTAAAGCAGCAAAGTCTGAGATCATGAGAGCTTTCTGTTATTCCCAAGAAGCCCTGGTTTCTTATCCTCTGCGATTGGCAGAAATGTCTAAACAGCACTGAATTTTTGTTCAAGACCCTGTTTTTATAGATAATGAAACTGGGATCCAGGGAGGAGAAAGGATTGCCTAAGGTCCCCAGCATGTGCAACGTGAGCCAAGGCATAGAGGCCAGGTGACCCCCAGCCTAAACCCTTCCCACCCTTTCATACTTGGCATCCCCTGTCAGCTGCATTAAATGGAGACCTTGCCCCTTAAGAAATCAACCCTCCGCTTACCAATAGTAGGGACTCCTGGCTTCCTACATGATCCATCTTTAGCATAGCTCCTCCTTTTTCATCTTGCTTCCAGGATTTGAGTTGACTGCTCAGGCGGTCAGTAACTGTGACCTGCATAGTCAAAGGCAGATGCCTTGCCCCTGCCCTCTTAGACTCCCTTAGCCCTTTCATTTATTGCTTATTGCATTGTGTTGTAAATGTGTATTTGCTGGTCAGTTTTACCCATGACACCAGGAGCCTTTAGAGGCAAGAATTATTTATTGTTGGGCTGGGCATGGTGGCTCATGCTTGTAATCTTAGCACTCTAGGAGGCCAAGGCAGGTGTATTGCCTGAGCTCAGGAGTTCAAGACCAGCCTGAGCAAGAGCAAGACCCCATCTCGAAAAGTATCCAGGTGTTGTGGCAGGTGCCTATAGTGCCAGCTACTGGGGAGGCTGAGGCAAGAGGATCACCTGAGCCTAAGAATTTGAGGTTGCTGTGAGTTATGACTCCATAGCACTCTACCCAGGGTGATAGGGTGAGACTGTCTCAAAAAAAAGAAAAAGAATTCTATATTGTCATAACTATAATCTGCCATGTATTTGGTACCTACTAAATACCTGGCACCATGCTAGATGTCTCATCTCTAGTGTCTAAAGCTGGCATCCTCAAACTACGGCCCGTGGGCCACATGCAGCCTGCCTAGGACATTTATCTGGCCCACCAGGTGTTTTTGCCACTGCTGCCTGTCTTGCTTAGCAGCCAACTCGTCCCAGGGCCCGCAGTCCAGACCTCCAACAGTCTGAGGGACAGTGAACTGGCCCCTGTTTAAAAAGTTTGAGGACCCCTGGTCTAAAGTCTTTATAACAGCTTTTCGAAGCATATATTATTATACCCATTTATCAAGTAAGGAAACTGAATACAAGTTTATCATTTGCCCATGATCATTCACTCATTTAGTAAATATTTATCATAGACTTACATGCCAGGACTTGTGCTAGATAGATGCTTTGGCCCATGTCCTCACCTAGGACTGGTTTCACAGAAGACAGTTTTTCCACAGACAGCATCAGGGAACAGTTTCAAGATGATTCAAACACATTACATCTCCACTTAAGATCATCAGGCATTAGATTCTCATAACTATCACACAACCTGGATCCCTTGCATGTGCGGTTTGCAGTAGGGTTCATGCTTCTCCGAGAATCTAATGCCACAGCTTAGCTGACAAGAGGCGGAACTCTGGCAGTGATGTGAGCAATGGGGAGCAGCTGTAAATACAGATGAAGTTTCACTTACCTCCTGCTGTGAAACCCAGTTCCTAACAGGCCATGGACCAGACCAGTACTGGTCTGTAGCCTGGGGGTAGGCAACTACAGCTATAGACAGTGCTGATGTATAAAACTGATAACCACCTCTGCCTTCCTAGAACTTCCAAGTGAGTAGAAAAGATGATAGTCAAAAATTATTTTACAAACCATAGCAAGTGTAATGGAGCCTGGAGCCCACCGGACTGCCTCAGATCAAACCCAGTGAGGTGACTTTGGGTAGCACCTCATCTTCCTGTTCTGTAAAATGGAGGGGATAACAGTAGTACCAACTTCATAGGGGTTCTGTGAAGGGGAAATGAGTTAACATATGTAAAGCTCTCAGGACAGGGCCCTGCACATTTCAGGAGTATTGTCATTGCTAGTGGGATGAAGGACAAGCGTGGGGTGCTCATAAGTGATGGAGCAGGACCCACTTCAGGAAGCATCTGATTGAGATCTAGAAGATGAATAAGAGTGACCTTGACAATGTATGTGGGAGGCAGGGGAGCGGGGCAGGTGCTAGAGGGATGTTCCAGGCAGAACAGCATGTGCACAGCATAGGTGCAGGCTTACCTGAGGAAGTCACAAGGAGTGAGACTGGAAGATAGTGAGTGGAGCTATACGGGTCAGCAACTGGGAAAGGGGAGCCTGTGATACAAATATGGTGACTCCAGGACCTGGGTTAATGAACTACACTGTAGATCTAGGTCACAGGAGATGCTCAGTAAAGGTTTGTCAAGCAAGTGGACAAGCACATAGACAGAGAACTACGTTGGCCTGGTGTGATTCTGTTGTCACCCACCTAGAAAAGAAATCTATTGTCTTTCATACATGGTGATATTCAGACAGCCTCATCCCAGCTGTCTAGCTGTACACATTCATTTTCTCTTCCTGGCAATAAACTAAACCATGTGAGTTTGGGCTGGGACCTCCAATATTTGGGACTCACTGAGGTAGCTGCAGCTGGAATCTCCATACTATACCCAGAGGCTTAGTTCTAAGCCAGAGGTGTTCCGACTTTTAAGTAATGGAACTCTGGATGCTGAGCACAACTCCAGGATCCGGTACAGATACAGGCAGAGCATCCTGCCTTGAGGAGCACTTGATAACACCTCTGCTGTACCTGAGAAAAAACAAGGACTCTGAAAGTACAGTTAGAAAACTAAGGCTAGAGCCCAAGCCCCAGTTTCCAAGTGTGGGGGAACTGAAACCTAGAGAGTAAGTGACTCTCCCAAGGTCACATCAACTAGGGGTGGAGCTAGATCTGGATCTTAGACGTCTAATATCAGTTCTACTGCACCAAGATGTCCCTCTACATTGCCCTATCCCCCATGCCATCTCAGTGTGAGGGCTTGAGATGGCAGAGAGACAAGTAGCTGTGACCTTGTCAAGAGTCCAACCTCCAGCCCCAATCAGGGCACAGATCCCAAGAGACAAAAATCTGGAGGGCAGGCGTGGGTGAGTTGTTCAGGGTCACGTCCTGGTTATGCTATGTCTTTTTTTCTTTTCTTTCCTTTTTTAATTGAGTTTGAGGTGGTTGTTTTTTATTTCCTTAAGAAATGGAAAAGAATGAAGCTGCGTAAATACAACGATATTAACTCCCTGAAAAACCTCCTGCCATTTTAACTCTGTTACTGGAGAAATAAAAGAGAAATAATTTGTCCACCCACACTTAGCTCTTTCTGACGAAGGTAGGTGAATATTGCTTTGCTAATCGAGGGTGACTGCTGGAAGTGGAGCCACGCTGACTGATCCCGGATTGAGAGGCAACCACAGCAGCCCCAAAAGGAGCGGCCCGCTGTGGGTCACAGAGCCCCGTGTATGGACGGGGCGGAATCACTGGCCCGTGCCCACCTTCCGCAGGTCTCCCCCAGCCGGTAGTGATGGAGGCACTGGATGAAGCCGAAGGGCTCCCAGATTCACAGAAAGAGATGCCACCGCCCCCTCCTCCCTCACCACCCTCAGAGCCAGCTCAGAAGCCACCACCTCGGGGCGCCGGGAGCCACTCCCTCACTGTCAAGAGCAGCCTGTGCCTGTTTGCTGCCTCACAGCTCCTGGTAAGGATGTCACAGGCCTCACAAGGGCCTGGGGAGAGGGCGGGGAAAGGGACAGCCTTCCACTTCCTCTCCAATATGGCTGCCTGAGAGGCGGAGGGATGAGGGGCCTCCTTGGTGTCCATTAGGGGCTCCAAGTTGGTGGGAGGGGAAGGCTGGAATTCTGAGCTACCACCTCAGTAGCTAAGCCCTCAAGCCTTGTTCTCCCAAACCCCAGTATCAGGAACACAGCCCTCTACCCTGTACTGTGGGGTTCTCTCTGAGGACTCCTGTCTGTAGAGGGCTTTCTGGGAGACTTCCCTTTTCATGTCCCCACCTGAAGTTTCGCCTTGGGGAAGGGCTTTCTCTCAGCTTCCTTCAGTCAGTTTTTCTCCAGGGAGAGTCCTCAGTCCTCTGGTCACGTGGCACCCAGGCCCTTCCCTCAGCTTCCCAGTCTGGATCTTAGATGTTCAAGAGCCTCCTTGGGGGGCCCAGTTGAGGCTGAAGCTAAGCTCAGCAAGGGGAATATGGGGGCGAGAGTTGGGCTCTGAACCCAGTCTGCTCCCCCGGCTGCCCCAGCTTGCCTGCGGGGTGCTCTGGTTCAGCGGCTATGGCCACATCTGGTCGCAGAATGCCACAAACCTTGTCTCCTCCTTGCTAACGCTTCTGAAGCAGCTGGGACCCACGGTGAGTATGCTGCAGTGAGCCCCAGGGTGGGAGGGATCTGTCAGGGACCTCCAGTCCCACCTCCCCTGGTCCTCTGCAGTTCTTCTGCCTGCTCCATGATCTCGACCTGGGATGCAGTTTTCAGAGCCTGAAAGCACTGTCCCCAACACCATGCTAATCTGTTTGTCTACTGTCCTCCAGGCCTGGCTGGGCACTGGGACCTGGGAAGTACCCAGTCTGCTGCTGGTCTCTCTATCTGTGGGCCTGATCCTCGGCACCACCCTGGTAAGGGGCCTCCTGACTCAGGCTTGTTGTTTTCCTCCTCTGACCCTGAAGCTTGATCCTGACCACTGCCAACCCACCCTCAGGCTAGACATCCCAGGTGGGCAAGGATAGGACTCTGTTTCCTCCCACTAGTGTGCCCAGTCAGGGGTGAAAGTTGGTTTCTGAAAATTGGTTTGCAGAGATCTGGGCTGGGAACAGGGCTGAGACCGGAAAAATACTGCTGTAGGAACTTCTGGGCCCCACCAAGAAGGGTTGAATCCACAAGGGACAGAGGGGCAGGGAGGGAGAACAGGTCGTGAAGCCTCTTATCCAGGCAACAATCAGTCCCATGTAGGCAGCTTCAGAAAAACAGGGCCACTCTAGACACTTTGAAGGGCCAGAGACTCAATCCCAAGAGTGAGCACCCCCAAGAACTCAGGAGGCAGCTGGAATGGTCCCGTGTCTGTGATGCCATACACCCCCACCCAGGTGTGGCACCTCCTGAGGACCCCCCCAGAGCCCCCCACTGCACTGCCCCCCGAGGACAGGCGCCAGTCAGTGAGCCGCCAGCCCTCCTTCACCTACTCGGAGTGGATGGAGGAGAAAGTCGAGGATGATTTCCTGGACCCGGATCCCGTGCCAGAGACTCCTGTGTTTGACTGCGTGATGGACATCAAGCCTGAGGCTGACCCCGCATCACTGACTGTCAAGTCCATGGGTCTGCAAGAGAGGTGGGAGGGGTGGAGGAGGGGCGGGCTCTATGGGCTCTTAAGCATGTAGCTCTCAATAAGATAGGTGGATGCCTGACTCTGATTCTCAGGGCCTAGGACAAAGCTGGTCTCTTAGCTTAGACACATGTTCTTGGGGTCATTCACGTAGATCAGAGTGCCCCAGATGAATGCTGAGAGATAGATACCGCAGACACACACATAGGCATGCAGAGGTGTCTGTGCATTCATACTCACACTCTCTTGTGCTCAAATAAGTTAAGTGAGTTTCTTTACTGCAGGGCTTGTCATAGCTTTTAACATGCTTGTATTATTTGTAAATCATCAAGGGGCAGTATGAGGCATTTCCCAAAGTCCCCTGCCCACAAAATCTCCCATACAGAGTGCTCACGGTGTTCCACAGAATACTCACTGGGTGTAGACACACTTTTTTTTAGAGCTTAGTTGGGTAAGCCAGATCATACCAGGTTTATTACCCAAACAATGTCATGGAAAGAACACTAGATGAAGAGGCAGAAAACTCAGCTTTTTGTTTCAGCTCTGTGAAAGCCTACACCATTCTTATCCTCTCATGGAGACTCAGTTTCCCTTTCTTTATAATGAGGGCCCTTCCTGGACTATGAGCAATGAGCATAGTAGAGTTTGTGAAGATGCTCTTGGGATTCCTTCCTTCCCTGACAGCTGAGGGTCCTACCCTGTCCTAGTGAGATGTCCTTGATTCATTGGCATCCTCTTCCCAGGACTGCTGGGTCCAGGGCTGTGACACAGAGGATGTTGGCACATCCTCTGGGCTCAAGCCCTGATTCTCTGCTCTAGGCAGGTGTCTTCTTTCTGCAAGACCCATCTATCTGAGGGCCACAGGGAGGAACTGCCTCCAGCAGTGGCCGAGAGTCCAGAGGAGGGCTATGCTGGGCTTCTTGTGGATGGAACCTTTAGAACTAGAGCCCCAAACTCCCAATCCAGCTGTTCCACTGTGGGAGGAAGGAGACAGAGTCAGGCCTATGCCTCAGGGCTGAGATTCATGCACCTTTGACAGGGTGTCTTGTCACATGCCTACCCCCCTTCTTCAAGCCCACCCCGTTCCCACCTGCTTTTTCCCTCCCTCATTTTCCCACCGCCCCCAACACCCCCTGTTGGTTCCTCTCCCTGCCTCTGAATCTTACTCCCCCTTTCCTGATCCATCCAGGAGGGGCTCCAACGTCTCCCTGACCCTGGATATGTGCACTCCGGGCTGCAACGAGGAGGGCTTTGGCTATCTCATGTCTCCACGTGAGGAGTCAGCCCGCGAATACCTGCTCAGTGCCTCCCGTGTCCTCCAAGCTGAGGAGCTTCACGAAAAGGCCCTGGACCCTTTCCTGCTACAGGCAGAATTCTTTGTGAGTCTCCTTGATCCGGCCCACCTCCTTTTCTATTCATATCAGCCATCCACCTATCCAGGCAGTGGAGCATATGTGTCCAGAATTCAGCATCTGGAGTAGACTAACTTCACTTCATTATCAGCTCTCCCACCTTGGGCAAGGTCCTTCCTCTCTGAGCCTCAGTTTCCTCATCTGCAAAATGGGGATGAAAATAATAAAGTGGTTGCAGGGAATAAAGAGATTGATAATGTATGCAAAGAGAGGAAGGAGGAAGGGACTTAGGCCCAGAGGCCATTTCCTGAATCAAACTTATCTGTCAGGCAACTTGCCCACTTTTGTGGACAGGAATGGGAGAAAGGATGTGAGTACTGGGAGGAAGTTCCTCCCAGTAGAAGCTGAAGGAGTAGAGTGTCCCTCCCTCTCATCTTGTTCCTTCTGGTCCCTGGCCCCAGCCTGCCCTGCTATCTGGACCAGATGGCTCTCCCCTCTGAGAAGACCTCCATCACTCTTTGAATCACTGCCCCACATTGTCCAGAATGTGGCACCATCTGCAGACAGCCCACCTCACCTGAGTCAGTCCAGCCCCAGCCTACTTTGCCAGCCGTCTGCTTCATCCTCCACCCTCTGGACAAGCCTTTCTGTCTAATCTGCTGTTGTCTGTCCTGTTCCCACCCTCTAAGGCTCACCCCCATCCCCACCTCCTGATGTCCTCCAGGGTGACTCCCCCATTAGCCCCTCTGGGGCCTAAGTCCCTTCCTCCTCTTTGCTTACACTATCAACCTTTACTTACTTCCCACCCCAGCCTGGATGCTTCTAGAAAGCCCTTCTGAACCACCCCGGCCTCAGCTCTTGCTGAGTCCCCATAGCCATCATCTCCCCTTGAAGAGAGAACTCACATCCTCTCCCTCCTTCCCTGAACATTCAGTGGATCATTGTTGACTTTGCCAGAAAGGAAGAAACATGGCCTGAGCGCCCACACTAGGGGCAGTTTTGCTGTGTTTTTTTCTTTTCATTCTCACAACACCCCTAAGAGGTGTCATGAACTTCATTACACAAAGCCCATACATACTGTGCCCCAGAACAACAAAAGTGTGAAACTAGGTATGAAAAGGTGCTAAACTATGCAGACGGATTGGAAGGGAGTGCAGAGGCCAGAGGCGTGGGGGAGTCACCCTGGAGGACATCAGGAGGAGGTGGGGACAGGGCACCTTAAAGGGTGGGAACAACTTGGGGAAATGGAGGACGAGGCCAGTGCTCCCAGCAAGCAGCATACCATCAGCTCAGGCCTGGAGACAGGATGGAGAATGGGAGGTTAACAATAGAGAAGAAACCTGCATACCTGGAAGTAAAGACAGGCAGGTCCAAGAAGAACTCCCATGCCAGGAGAGAGGTGCCTAGCTGGAGCTTTTGCCACAGAGAATGATGGAGGGCTGCAGGTACACCTGGGAGCTCACAAGGAGGGTTCCATTTCCTGCTGGCGAATCAGGAAAGGCTTCAGAGGGGAGGTGAGGACCTGAGGTGACAAAGATGGGGTGGGTATCACCACAGAGTAAGCAGCACCAATCAAGCTCCCAAGGTGGGATTGCCCAGGGCAGAAATGATGCACAGAGGATGTGGAGGGCAGTAGCAGTTAGCCAGGTTACTTTTTGTCCTGTTCTTCAACCATTTATTGAGTGTCTATTATACGCCAGGGTGGCCCTCCATAAACAATAGTCATAATAACATTTATTATGCACTCAGCATGTGCCAGACACTGTTCTAAATGTTTTATGGGCGCTGACTCATTTAATAGTAAATGTTTGTTGAATGAATGCATGCACTCAGTCCAATTCCTGGATTCTAATGTCGGTGAGAGCCAGCCCACAGGTGGTCACAACCCTGTATCCTCCTCCTGCAGGAGATCCCCATGAACTTTGTGGATCCAAAAGAATATGACATCCCTGGGCTGGTGCGGAAGAACCGGTACAAAACCATACTTCCCAGTGAGTACTCGCTGTCCCCAGGGCATGGGGGCAGCTCACCTTCACATGGGTGCCCCCTTGCCCTGAAGAAGCTGGGCCTCCAGGGATGATGGGACAGTCACCACTGGAGGAGAAGGGATAGAGAACTGGGAGATGAGCAGTGAAGAGGTGGGGAGTTCCCACCCTGGTGAGAGAAGAGGCTGGTGCATTCCCTCACAGAGTACTCTGGACCTTTGCCCTGCCTGGCCAAGTATTGTTCGGGGCCCACAGAAATCTCAAGAGAAAGGGTGGTGATAACAGGAGCCTCCTAGCCAGTGTGGTATGGTGACAGAAAGGTGTTTCACATCCTTTATCTCTTCAGAGTAGGCAGATTCTAAGGAGAGGAAATTGAGGTTCAGAGAGGTTAAGTGGCTTACCCACAGTCGCACAAGTACAGAGCTGGATTTCAGCCCAAGGCCTCTGCGACTGCAGAATTAGGCTCTTTGTCTACATTGTAAGTCCCTAACAGATAGATCCACCCCACAGAGGAATGAGCTGCCTCTGTCAGGTAGTGAGTTCCCCATCACTCCATGTGTTCAAGTGAGGCTACATGAGCAATCCCTCAGAAGGTATCGGAGGGCTTTTCTTCCTCTGGGGGCAGTTACACCAAGTGACCTGATGTTGCTCTTTCAGCCCCAGGGTGTCATTTTCAGGTGATTTTCATGAAGCCCTTGTCTTCCTGCCACCCATGCCAAGTTCTAGCCCAGGCCCCAGGGCTAGCTTGGAGGTGACCTGTTGAAAGCGAATCCCTGCAAACCTACTCCACTCAGTTTGTGGAGTAGCAAGGCTTTAAAAAAGCAGTTTTGCCATCAGCATCTCTGACAACATGTAAGATGTCATGACTTATTTTTAACTTTTAAAATATCGACTTGTAGTTGCTATGGTTACAGAGTCTCTAGGTAGTTCTGGTTAAACAGAGCGCCATTTAAGGCCAGGATGCATTATTCAGGACTGCTCACCTCTTCCCTCATCTTGCCCTCCCTCTCTCAGCCCTACCTGGATGGAGCTCAGGGCTCAAGACCTAGAACCCAGGGCTTTGCTGGCTGTTCAGAGTGGCCACTGGGGGAAGATGGAAGCAGGCCATGATTCCACATGATCCTCACCAGATTGCTGAGAGGCTCAAGCCATGCCCAGAGCCTTGAGACCTCCAAGTCCAACACAGAATCTTGGCTGTGTTCAGCAAAAATTGACCCTACACCCTCTTGAGCCTGGATTGGGGGGCAGAGGGAGGCCAGGTTTGGCAGAGGCTGCCTCTCAAATCCAGGACATGCTGAGGTTTGTTCTCTCATTCACTAGGCACACATTTCCTCAGCTTCTGCCTCTGGGCCTGAAGGGTTTAGGTGTGAATAGGATACAGACTTTCTGCACAAGGACCTCCCAATCTAGTGGGAGAGACAGGCCCATGCACAGTTATAAGAGAGTGACCTCTTCCTTGTTCCCACAGGAAGCACTGGGAACAAGATGCAGAGGAGTAATTTCTGTCCCTTTCACCTCTGTAACCCATGCACTAAAACAGTGCCAGAACACGGTAGACATTCTGCACCTACTTGAATGAATGCATGAATAGCTCTCAAAGCTGGCTCCTCCTCTCCATGCTCACTGCCAAATGACTGTTCTGGGGGTAGGGCTTTCATTCCCCAATTCCAGGGGCCACCATTTACATAGATGCCCTTCTAGTTGTGCCAGGTATGGTAGACCTGTGTTCCTTGATGCTTCTCAGCTGGATCATCTCAGTAATCTCCTAACTCGTCTGCTGACTTATATATCTTCCTCCATCTTCTAACCTTGCCACCAAAATGATACAGAACAGAAATCTAATCGTGTCCTTGCCTTCCTTATCATCACTGCCCCCCTCGTAATCCTCAGGTTTAGGTCCTGCTGTCTAACCATGGTTTATAAGACCTTTGTCATCTGGTTCCTCCCCTCACCTCTCACCAGTTCCTACCTTGCCCTGAGTGCTGGAATCCCACAGGATGGTATTCCCTGCAGATAAAGAAAAGGGAGCTGGCCCAGGAAGAGAGGGCCCCACTTTTCTCTGCTGCTGGCTACGCAGAAGCACCCCCTCCCACTTATCCTCACTCCTCTCCCTACCTGCTACCCTCTATGCCCGTCTGTAAAAACTGCCCCACCTCCCAAGTCACCTGCCAGAACCCCAGGAAATGGAGCTGGGGCAAGAAAAGATCTAGGGAGAAGAGGCCTGGGCATATCCCCTTTCCTGTTCCTCCTACTATGTTTGGAATCCTATTTATCCATTAATTTATTATAATAATAGCAGTAATAACAACTACCTGCCATACAGTGTTTACCTTATGCTAGTCTAACTTAACGACTAAAGGCTCGCCTTTTACAAAATAAGTGAGGTCATTGTGGAAGGAGTATCCCCAGTTTACAGGTAAGACAGGGAGATCAAGCATAATGGCCCACATTGACACTGTTAATTAAGTCAGAGAACTAGGATTTAAAGCGGGGCTTTCTGGTTTAGTGGTGTGGACTCTCCTCTACTGCCTTTGAGAGCCCCAAAATGTGCACACTGGAAGTGCCTTTAGTTCAGCCCCTTCCTATTATAGGAGAAAAAACTTAAATAAGGGATAAGATAATGGGGTTGAACCCCAGAACCCAGGACTCTAGGCTACCAGCCAGCTTCCCTGCCTATCCCACATACCTCCCAATCTCAGACTCAAACTCTGAAGGTTGACAGAATAGTCAATACAATGAAGCTGTGGCTGGAACAAAACAAAATCTACTCCAAGAAGAACAGGATGTTACAGGAATGTATTACTATGGGATTTGATGTGTAAATAGATTTTAAAAAAAAAGTCTTTGTGCACATAGGTCCACATAGCTAAGATCCTACAGTTTCGTCATAGATGTGAGAGGCTTCACCTTTTTCATCCCAATAGTCTCCCTCAAATTTCTACCCAAAAATTTTTGGTTTTTTTGAGAGATAGGGTCTCTCTCTGTCATCCAGGCCTAGAGTATAGCACTATGATCACAGATCACTAAAATCTCAAGTTCTTGGACTCAAGCAATCTTCCTGCCTGAGCCCCCTGAGTAGCTGGGACTACAGGTGCCTGCCACCACACCTGGCCAATTTGATGATGATGATGAAGAAAAAGAATTATTAGAGATGAGGTCTCACTGTGTTGCCCAGGACGATCTCAAACTCCTTGCCTCAAGCAAGGATTCCTCCTGCCTTGGCTTCTCAAAGTGCTGGATTATAAACATGAGCCACCATACCCAGCTGTACCTCCCAAATCTTAACAGTTCTTTATACATTTAAGGCATTTTATAGTTTATATAACACTTTTACATCTGTTTCCTCTTTTATCTTCCTAATAACCCAAGGAAGTAGGCATCTTTGCCCTCATTTGATAGGTAGGAAAACCGAGGCTTTGAAAGGCCGTATGTTTTATAAGCATACTTAGAAGCCATTGAAGTCTGTACTCCAACTCTAGCTGCCTCCTCTGTCCAGCATCTGTGCCCTAGGTAATTCCTTTATTGACTTAGCTTTCTCCTCTCCATAACATAAGACACAGTAAGGATAGGGCAGCTTAAGGGGCACAGGCAAAGGGTAGGCATTGAGCCTATAGAAGTAGAGACCCAGGGCATCTTTCTCTCTCTACTTTCCTCTTCATCCTATATCACCCCTGCCTGAATGGCCCACAGATGAGTCAATGTTTCATGACAGAACAAGGGAAGAAAGAAATGCTAAAGTCCCAGAAGTAATGTGGGTGCCCTGGAGTGGACCACAGAAGGTGGGCCCTGTACAAACAGGGCTCAGCTTCCAGCCTCACCTGTTTCCCCCTACCCCAGACCCTCACAGCAGAGTGTGTCTGACCTCACCAGACCCTGATGACCCTCTGAGTTCCTACATCAATGCCAACTACATACGGGTATGTATCCCCATCCAACAGCCTCTCACCAAAGCAGAGTCCTGAGTCAATGGGACCCGCCCTCCAGCCTTGTCCCTAAGCTGGTGTGGCTCCTACCAGCTCCTGGGAGGAGCCTGAGACGGGGAGGTGGTCAGGGTCAGAGTGCTGCCTCTGGCCCTGACCACCTGGACTTGGCTGGCCACAGGGCTACGGTGGGGAGGAGAAGGTGTACATCGCCACTCAGGGACCCATCGTCAGCACAGTGGCCGACTTCTGGCGCATGGTGTGGCAGGAGCATACGCCCATCATTGTCATGATTACCAATATCGAGGAGATGAATGAGGTAGGGACCTGCTTTGTGCCCTACACTGAGTTTCTCATTTACGTATTAATCCTTAACAATGATCTTGGAGGTTGGTGGTATTCACTGCCAGGATGAGAAAATGTGAGGCTCCATGAGGCTAAGTTATTTGCTCAGGGCCTCACAGAGAAAGGCAGAACTTGAGGCTGGGCTCTCCACCTCCATTGCGAGCGACCTTAAACACGACACTGTTTAAGCTGCCAGAACAGCTAATGGCTGCTTCTGTACCCATAATGGCCCATTTAATTGAATCCCTGTAAAAATTCTTCAGAATGGGTATTACTTCCAATTATTTTCCAGATGAGAAAACTGAGGCTCAGAAAAGGGAAGTAGTTTATAGGTTATGAAGCTGAGATTTAAACCCGACTCTCTGTAGCAGCAAACCTGTTGCCCTTGTATGTCTCTCCACTGGCTCTGGAGGGGCATTGGGAAGGGAATGAGGTTGCATCGCAGCCTGGTCTGGGCTCCTGCAGAAATGCACCGAGTATTGGCCAGAGGAGCAGGTGGTGTACGACGGTGTTGAGATCACTGTGCAGAAAGTCCTTCACACTGAGGATTACCGGCTGCGACTCATCTCCCTCAAGGTGAGGCCTGGGACTGGGCTGGGAGGATGGAGTGTAGGAGCTTAACTGGGAACTCCACCAAGAACAGGGCCCCAAAGTCTACTGTAGCTGAAATAGAGGGCTATGTAACTCTTGGCTTTTACTGATAAGCAGAGAATGAAGGAATGTGAATGGACTTAGGGGCCAGAGGCAGAGCCAAACCCATTACATTTCCCAAACTTCAGCTGCGTTTAATAATGCTGTCATTCATAATGTCTTCTTCCTCGGCTTCAAATGTACCCCAGGCCAGGACTATCTAGGTGAGGGGACTTCAGCAGCCTCCAGCATTGTCCTTATAACTGAGGGTTCATTATAACTTTGAGATCTGCTTAGAAATGTCTCTTGACCTGGGACTCTGGGTTTCTGGCATGTAGTAACCAATATGTCCACCAGAGGGCAGGTACTCCTTGATGCTTTGAGGTTGCACAGGGAGGCTGTGGTTACAGAAAATGGCAAAAAAAAAAAAAAAAAAAAGGAAAACATAGAAAATATGAGCAATACAAAACAGCCTGGAAGAGTAGGCTCCTCCTCCCGCCCTGAGGTTGTGCTTCTTTTGGAATCAGTATAAGAGGAGACTATCCCTGTGAAATCAAATTAATGGGGGTTCTGTTTTTGAGAAAGGATGAGAAGGTAGAGCACCACTGTAATAATTCAGAAGGCTTGGAGGAGGTGAGCCAGGCACCAGGAGGCAGAAGCACTATACAGAAACATTCAGGGAAGTCCACTGATGCTGACAGCCTCAGGGTGCTATCACAGAAAATGAGCTCAAGGCCTGAGACTTGTCCTTCTGAGCTGCTTTCTCCCTCAATAGCATGCTGGGTAGGATGCAGGGGACACCTCAGCTACAGAGGACGCAGCCAGCCTGAACAGCTTTGAGATACAGGTCTTAGTGGAGGCCACAAAGAGTCAGGAAGGAAGGAGCAGAGGCTGTGGTACCTGTCATAGCCAGGTGATCCAAGCATGCAGAGAATGCTCCTAAGTAGACATTCCCCAGAAAGAGAGGCTGAGGTGAGGCGCAGGCTGCTTATCTTTTCAATGCCATGGGGATGATTGGAAAGAACCAGGGCTGAGGATATGAGGATATTTATTTTTGTCTATAAACCATCACAAGCACCTGCCCTGAGCTGTGTTTGGCATTGGAGATGGGGAATACAGAGCTGTCCAAAGCCTGGACTCATTCCTCAAGAAGTACCCATATGATGGTAAATACTGAGCTAGGGATGGGTAGGGATCTGGAAGGACACTCAGCCAGCCCGTGTGCTCAGGGAGGGCTTCCTGGAAGTGGTGCTGCTGATTGGGGTTGTCAAGCATGACTAAGAGTCGACTAGGAACAAACAAGTAGGGAGAGCATTCCCAAGAGAGAAATAAGTAAAAATAAGGGCATGGAAGGTGGAAGAGTTGTGTGCACATGCTCCTGAGATTTTATATACAAACCTTTTGGAATATGGGACCATCGAGTACAAGTAAGCAGGGACAGGAGATGTGCCTGGAAGGATAGACCCTGTAATGGGTGCCTTAGATGCCAGTCTAAGGAATAAGGAGAGTGAATTTTATTTGAAGAGCAATGAGAGCCACTGAAGAGTGTCATAGTCTATTCAGGTGCTATAAAAAAATATTACAGACTGAGTGGCTTATAAACAACGGGTTTCTTTCTCACTGTTCTGGACACTGGGAAGTCCAAGATCAAGCCACCAGCACAGTCAGGTTGTGGTGAGGGCACACTTCCTGGTTCATGTCCTCACATGGCAGAGGGCTGAGGAAGCTCTGGGGCCTCTTATAAAAGAGCAGTCACCCGCCTCACGAGGGCTCCACTCTCATGACCTTGTCACCTCCCAAAGGCCCCACCTTCAAATACCATCATGTTGGGGATTTGGTTTCAATGTGGGAATTTGGGAGGGACACAAATTAGTCCGCAGCAAAGGGTTTTGATCAGGAGAGCAGCATGTCCGGATTTGTGTTGTGGACAGATCATGTTGACTCTGGATCTGAGCCAGTCAGGGATGAGGGAGAGATCTCATGTACTGAATTGATGATAAAGGTCAAAGTGGTGGTGACAGTGGGACTTTAGGGGAGGGGGGCGGTGAAGGCAGTAAAACTGGCACCACTTAATAGAAGCAGATAGATAGAGGTGGGAATGGCAGGCAAAGCATAGCAAGGTGAGAGGAAGAGTCCTGGGCCTCTGGGTTATGTGACTAAGGAACAGCTAGCCCATCTGTTACGATAAGGAACCCTGGAGACTGTAGTGAATTGGGGAAGGAGTTTTGGCCTCTCTCAAATGATCCTGAAATTGTTGAGGCAGAACCAAAGACCAATGCTGGTGCCACCAACCAGTCCCCAATACCAGGCTGACTTTGGGTCTCTATTGGTTGCCAGCAAGTGATATGGCATAGACAGGAGGGGTTAGGAGTTCCACTCTCTTTCCTTCCTGTGTCCATCCTCATCCCATCCCATCCCATCCCGTCCCATCCCATCCCATCTCTGGGCTGGTTTGTGAGCTAAAAGAGTTCATACATATCTGAGGTGGGCCTCTGTCTCCTCGACAGAGTGGGACTGAAGAGAGAGGCCTGAAGCATTACTGGTTCACATCCTGGCCTGACCAGAAGACCCCAGACCGGGCCCCTCCACTCCTGCACCTGGTACAGGAGGTGGAGGAGGCAGCCCAGCAGGAGGGGCCCCACTGTGCCCCCATCGTTGTCCACTGCAGGTGGGTCCTCCCAGCCAGCCACTGAAGCAGGGCAATCCCCCATCCCCTGGGCTGCCCCACACCTCACCTCATCCACCCCCTCGGCCCTCAGCGCAGGGATTGGGAGGACTGGTTGCTTCATTGCCACCAGCATCTGCTGCCAGCAGCTGCGGCATGAGGGTGTGGTGGACATCCTGAAGACCACGTGCCAGCTCCGTCAGGACAGGTTAGCCCATGGGCAGGGGTGGGGGCCCAGGGGGGTGCTAGAGCCCTGGGGGCAGCAGGGAGAGACAGATGTGTGCGTGGGGGTGAGGGGCAGATGGACACTGGGTATGGACTGACAGACGAGGAGTAGGGAAGACAGCTGGGTGGAGGAGCAGGAGCCAGACAAGCCATAAACAGACTTGATGGACAGAAAGTGCTGAAAGCGGTGGGACACGTCATCTGTGTCTCTGACAGGAAGGGGAGAGGGCAATGGCTGGCAAAGGTTGGTCTCTCCAAGCCGCACAAGTACAAGGCCCCTAGTGTGCCTCACAAATGATTGCGCTCTGTGGGTTTGGGCCCCCTCCCGCAGCCCATCCTCCGTGAGCCCATCCCCATCGTGCATCTCTGCCTGGCAGGGGTGGCATGATCCAGACATGTGAGCAGTACCAGTTTGTGCACCACGTCATGAGCCTCTACGAGAAGCAGCTGTCCCACCAGTCCTCAGAGTGACCAAGCTCCTCCTCCAAGGTCCTCTGGGTACTGCCCAGCCTGAGTCTGAGCGCTCACCCCAGCCTCCCAGGGCTCTGCCCCATGTCCTGGGCTTGCTCCCTGCCCTTACCTGCTCCTGCTTCCTTCCTTCTGTCTGCTCCCTCCTGCTCTATTAGCCTTGGCCTGGCCCCTGCCCCCCAGCATAGCTCTTCCTACTGTACATACTGGGGAGTAGGGGGAGGGGAGGGATGTGCCAGGCCAGGCCTGGGGCCCCAGGGCCTGACCCACAGGGCTCAGGCCTGGTGCCTCAGTTTTTAACGATGATTCCATCACTACTTGATACAAAACATTTCTGTGCCACACTCCTAGCGTCCTGCTGCAGCGTGTTCTGTCTGTCCATCATCTCTACTGTCTGTACCGGACACTGTGTCTCCTCGACCCAGGAAAGGGGTAATAAGCTCCAGCCCCTAAGCAGCCCAGGCAGAGGGGCCTGCCTTGGGCCCCACCTTGACTTCTCCCAACAAGAAGATTGCATTTTGCCCCAGTTATTGGGACCAGGAATGGGTGGGCACTGAGGACCTGGAGGTCAGGCATGGGGAGTTCCTGAGGGGTTGGCAGAAAGATCTCAACTGGGAGAAGTCTCTGGGTTGGGGTGGGCATCAAAGCCAGGGTGACCTCTGGGTAGCAGATGCCCTCAGGAAGCACTGACCAGTCTATGAGGCTTTGAAGAGGAAGGGGACAGATGAGAGTTGGGAACCCAGAGGACCTGGACCCCAGTGGGGGGTGGGGGAGGGGACTTGGGGGGGGTGGGAGTACTCAACCCTAGATCTGTGTGAGACATTTCTCCATGTCACTGTGGGAAAGCCTTCCCAGAAGTCGCTCCACGTGTGTTCCCATGTCTGCGTGTGTTGAGAGCCCATCAGCAGGGCATGCATGATTCTTTGGCAACGTGTGTTATCCTGGAGCCACATGTTTTTATTGCTGACTTTAAATATTTATTCCACGGCAGAGAGACATTTGGTGTCTTTTTATAATTCGCTCGTGGTCATTGAATAGAGCAATAAATGGAGCATTTTGAGCAAAACTAACCTGGGTCTGTGTGACTTTCCTCTGCCCTGCACTTCTGCTTCCCTGCTCTCAGCCTCTGTGCCCATCCCTCCTGGGCCAGCACACAGAGCCTGGCCCTCACACTTACTGGCACCCTTTGTGGATTTTGGGAGTATGGAGCAAATCCAAATTTGAAAAACCAAAATAAGTCCATTCTGCAGGATTCTCGTGTACCCTCAGCCCCAGCCTAGCCAGGTGCTCTGGGCCATGGGGAGCCTCTAAGACAGGTGTGGAAGGCATCCAGGGAAGACAAAGTGTCTGCCAGGCCACCCTGGCACCCTTCTTTGTGGCAGATGGGCCACAAAGGCCAAGGCTGGGGCAAGGGGATGTTCAGGTCACTCCCAGGGCACCCCCTGTTGGCCAAACACTTACCCCATGTTAGTTCCACAGGTCCAAACAGCAGCTGCAGCCCAGAAGTTTCCCTTGTAAGGCCTGGGCCAACAGCAGCCCCTCCCAAGGGGCCCAGGGAATCTGCCTGTGGCCTTAGATCCTAAGTCATTCTAGACACTCTTGCTCTATTCTTATCCCCTGTCCCCCTGAGATGGAGCAAAAGTAGCTGTGATGCCAGTGTTGGCAAGTGGGGGTCACCCCAGGACAGGAGGGTGTCCACAACAGCTCCTTATAAGATACCAGTACCTTGGGTTGGTTGGCCAAGGGTTCAGGCCTACAGAGTATGCTTCAGATGACGAGGAAAGGACACAGGGTGGATGAAGCAGCCCAGATGAGGGTCCCAGAGAAAGGGTGCATGCTCTCCAGCCACCTTCAAACAGAGATCTCCCCCCAGAAGATGGGCCTTCCTACCTTGCTACCCAGATTAGAGAGGTTGAGCTGGTGGAGTGGGAAGGAGCTAACATTTCCCGGTCCTCTCCCAAGGTGACCCTCTAAGGCCACTCAGGCTTTGCATGAACCACACATACAGTTCAACATGAATGGTGCCCTCTGGATTTGTGCAAAGTGGCAAATGCTATAACCCACCTCAGCCTCCCAGTTCCTGGAAAATACAGACCCGTTGCTTTGCTCCCAAACCCCACTGGACTGTGTATGCACCTAAGCATGCATATGTGCACACTCGCACACCCTAAGTTCCTCAGCTCAGAGAGGTCCCACCTAGCAGCAGGGAGAACCAAAACCTCTACCACAGGGGAATGAGAGAAGTTCCCCTGGACCACCACCCTCAGCCTCCTACCTACCTGTGCACTTCCTCCAGCTCTGGATCCAGCCTTGCTTCTCTCTCCCCCTTTCTCCTCCCTACCACAAAGCAGTGTACCATCTAGCCGAGACAGCTGCAGATCCTGAGTAAGGGATCACCTCCCAGGGGAGGACAGACTTATAAAAACCAGGTGATTCCCAGTGGCACCACTGTTGGAGCAAAGGAAGGAGGAGACTGGCCACCCTCCATCCAGGCACCAGCTGAGCCTCCAGAGCTGTGGACACTCAAGTGTTGGGAGGGATTGGTAAGCACAAAAGGTAAGGCTTCTCTCTTCCCTCAGGAAAGGGGCAGAGCTGGCTGCTGCCTTCTGAGTCCAGAGTCGGACACAGGGTAGAGGACATGAGCTGGGACAGGAGTGGTGTCAGAACACAGAGGTAGAGTGGCCCAGGCAGAGATATGTGGAGAGTGAGGAGTGGTAAAGGTTAGCCTCAAACCAACTGCCTCAGAAGAAGGCCTTTAGGCTCTCTGGAAGGCCACTGGACTGGAGTCAGGAGGCCAGGCATCTACTCTTTGTGACCTTGGACAGGTCATTTCTCTGACCAAGTGAACCGTAAGTTCACTCATAATACTAAATAGGGATTGAAAAGTGGCAATGCTGGTTGAAGGATGGTAGATCCATCCACTCCTTGAAAAACTATGTATTGGCTCGGCGCCTATAGCTCAACCGGCTAAGGCGCCAGCCACGTACACCTAAGGTGGCGGGTTCGAATCCCCAGCCCGGACCCGCCAAACAACAATGATGGCTGCAACCAAAAAATAGCCGGGCGTTGTGGCGGGCACCTGTGATCCCAGCTACTTGGGAGGCGGAGGCAGGAGACTCGCTGGAGCCCAGGAGTTGGAGGTTGCTGTGAGCTGTAATGCCATGGCACTCTACCCAGGGGGACAGCTTGAGGCTCTGTCTCAAAAAAAAAAAAAAAAAAGAAAAACTATGTATTAACAGGAGTAAGGAAATTTTATGAACTGTATGGAAAAATCTGCAAGGTATATTAAGTAAAAAAAGAAAGAGGTAGGATAGTGTGTACAATAGGCTACCATGAGGTTAAAAAAAAAAAGGAAGAGGACAAGAATATATACCATATTCTTATTTGCATGAAGGAGCTGCAGAAGGAAACCAGAGACCACAAGGGGTGCCTATTGCAATGGGGAGGGCTGGGAGATGGACAGAGGGACTTAGAAGTGGAAGGGAGCCTCTTCGTGTAGTTTTTTTTTTAATGTTGTTTTACTACTTTGAATTACCAGTTCAAAGAAAAACATGAGAAATAAAAACTAAACCTCTGCCTTTACCATATCACCAATGAAAGCAGAGCTGTAGAAATGTGCTGCCATCTGTCTTAGCATTCCACCAATGCCAGTGGTCCCCAGGGCCAGAAGGAAGAGCCACAGCTTCCTTCTAAGGCTCGCTCCAGTATGGCTTAGTCAGGAGGTTCCTTCTTAGGTCTGACTTCATTCCCTCCTGATGAAACATCCAACACAGCCTCCCTAGTTCCACGTAGCTATCAATAGGTATCTTCAGCTCCCTCTGGGCCTTACCTGGTTGATGGGGTAAGTAGTCTAAGCCCCATATCCTTTCCCTCCAAGACTATGAAATGATTTAGAGTTACTTGGTGAGGGAAGAGGCCCATTGGTTCTTGTAACTAACATGGGAAAGAAAGGGAACTAGGAAGTGAAGAGAGGCCAAAGGTGAGGCCAAAGGTGAGGCCAGCTGCCTGACTGCTCTCCTGGCCCTCTCTTGTGCACATTCATCTCCCTTTGCATCCACACACACACATCTCTGAATCTCCCTCCTACTCCCTTCCTTGTCCTTCATGGCCTCATCCTCTCCCAGGTCCTCACAGGTGAGTGCCCACGCCTGCTGTTACCATGACGACAGTTTACCACCAGCAGATGCTGCAGGAGCATGTGTCCATGGAGTTCTCCAGCTCCTCCACCCACATGCAGACCTTCTCCCAGACAACCAAGATCGTGGGAGGCAAGTGGAGTGGGGACGGGGGAGGGATTGGAAAGGGGCAGCCATTCTTCCTTCACACCCACCCCTTGGGTAGCCTCAGTCTTTGCCACTAATGGGCCCCTCAGGGGCCCACAATATCAACAGCTACCCCCTTCCAACTTGTGCTTCTAATCTGGGCTTTGATAAAGCTTCAGCCAACTGGATGTTCACCACAAAGCAGATCTCCAAGAAACAGCTTAGGAAAAATCAGTCACATGGATGTGCATGAATGATTGATAAACTCTTGTTTAAGGAGATCAGAGCCAAAGGTGAATGAATTGTATCTCTGATGGTAGAATTTCATGCATGGGAGAAGTTAGGAAGGTAGCTACCTTATCTACATATGAGTAATGCTGACCCTGCTCCATTTAAGAAATAGGAGATCAGTGCAGAGTGACCTAAGCATCCAGCCTCTTAGCCCTTAGGGACCAGACTTGGGGGAGGGCAGATCCAGAAGAAAGCTGAGAAATGGTCTCAGAGCAGAGCAGACTGTTTTAGTCCTGTCTCTAATGGAAAGAGATTAAAAGATGGCCAAGAGCCAGGGTTTTGAATACCCCTTTTCACAGTCACAGCCCATTCCTCAAAGTCCCAGAGGGACAGAGTCCCTCAAAGTCCTCAGTGCATAGAGGTCAAGGCCAGAAACACTCTATACCAGCGGTTCTCAACCTGTGGGTCATGACCCATAGGAACCGTAGTAAAGGGCCACAGCATTAGGAAGGTTGAGAACAACTGCTCTATACCAACCAACCCCTCCTGGCCAGTGACAAAGCAAGTGAAACAGCTGAAACTCAAGGCCTATGTTCTAGACCAGAAGTTGCAAATGCAAATGATTTATAGCAGTGATGCTCAGAGTCACTGTAGTGTAGAAGGTGGGGTGAAGAGGAGAGTTAGAAAAAATGATATCTGAGTCTCACCCCAAACTATTAAGTCAGATTTTTTTTTTTAAGTTATCCAGGGATGCTAAAATGCAGCCAGAAAAACTAGGTATCACTGACCAACAGGGTCCAGGCAGGGAACATAAATGTGAGGAAAAGCGGAGAGGACATGCCCCATCTGAAAGGGTAGCCACTCCTCACCTCCCACATGATTGTTACCACATGGGAATATGAGTCCAGTGTTGAGAATCTAGAAAACTAAATTTTTACGTGAAATCTTTCCCTTTTCAGAGGTAGGGCTACTTTTTTGTTTAAACATTTTGGAGATCAAATAAAAGACATTTGCTGGCCAGGTGCAGCCTGCAGCCTGTTTGGAACCTCTGGTCACTACGGTATTTAAAAGCAGGCCATGACAGCTTCTTAACACATGTTTTTCATCTCAGTATCTCAGATCGGTGAGGATAATAAAGGCTCCTGCTTCACTGGAATGCAGTGAGGATTAAATAAGATCGTCTCTGATACGTGCCCAGTACAGTTCATGACATAAGGAAAATGCTTTATGATTCAGAGCAATTATTATGAATTGATAATTCACTAGCCAAGATTTTCTGTAATTTATACTGCAAAAACAGTTTTTTGTTTTCCAACTATAAAATCAGATTACCACAATGAATATGTTCTTTTAGCTTAGGAGATTCCCACGTATAGTGTCAATGGAGTGGGGTGGTGTCCCATCCCTCACTCAAGGATCACCACTCCCTAGGCAATGAATGCTGAACCCAGAGAACGGCAGGGAGAAAATCTAGAGCCGAAGCAGGCTTGGCCCCTTTTAATACTACTGGGGAAACCAGAACTTCTCGGAGTGAAGCACAGAGACCAAGGAAATCCCAAAAGGGAAGACTCCTATTCAAAAAAGAAAAAAAGAAAAAGAAAAAGATTAGGACTCAGGACCAAGACCCAAAACAGGCGATCGACCGCTGAGGTGTGGCAAAGGCGTTAGTGTCCCCTAGTGGTAAACATTTGCCATTACACAATGACCCATCGACTCAGGTCCTTGGACAAAGCTGGTTCTGGCCCCGCTTGCCTTAAACGCCATTTGTTCCCATGCTCCACTGTCTCCTGAAGAAAATCTCAATCCTCCGATCCTGGGCCGAGCTTCCACTTGGAGCCCATTCTGACCTCTCGCCTGCCTCCACAGAGGAAGTCGTGACGAGCAAGTCCTCGAGCACAGTGGAGTTCTTCAGTTTGGTGACCCGGAGTTCCAACATCCCTGCAGGCGAGAGCGTCCCTGAATTCGTGGAGAAACCTCATCCGGTGACCTCGCCCGAGGGTGTGTCGCTTCCCGTACCCCTCCCCTACCTCTGGTGCTTCGCCTTCTGATCTAATCCCCCCTAGCCCTCTCTCCCATCCCAATATCCCCCAATACACAGACACTGGCAGAACCTGGCCAAGAGTTCATCCCTCGCCCAGGGCCGGGATCAGATCTCTAGAAGCAGGCGGGGAGCTGGCAGTGGGTCTGGGCTGGTGGCTCAGAGGGGAAAATGTGTCCTGTGCTCACCGCAGGGGATAAAGCCGTGTTCCGAGCTCGGGTGCAAGGAAACCCCAAACCTAACATCTCCTGGAAAAGGGAGAGCGGCGTTCCCATCAAAGAGTCCGCCAAAATATTCTACGACAGCATTAACAAGGAGCACGTGCTGAAGGTACGGGACCCACGCGAAGTCCCGCTACTGATGAGGCCGGAAGCAGGGACCCCGGGGCCGGCCGCCAATCCTCTCAAGACCAAACAGCCACTATGGCGACCCGAGAACTGGGCGGTGGGGAGTCTGCCATCGCTAGAGAGGCTCAGCAGGATATCAGAGTCTGGAACTTCGATATTGCCAGAAAGCAGAGGGCAGAAATTACCAGCGGGGCAAGACAGAGCCAGAGTAAAGCCAGAGCGAGGCGTGGGCAGGGCCAAATGGAAGCAAAGGGGCAGTTCTAGAAGGCGAGTGACCCGGGAGATGGGCGTGGTTAGTAAGGGGTGGGACCATGGTGGTTGGGCCGGGCGGAGTTGAGGCGCCACCAGGAGGCAAGGAGCGACAAGTCCTAGAAAGGGCTGGGGTTTTGAGCTCTTCAGCTGATCCCTCCAGAACCCTCACTGAGATAACCCTTAGGTCTAACCAGCTTTGGGGACACTTTGTAAGAGCAGTGTCTGCCCAGCTGCAACCTCTGTCTCAAAGTTCTATGAAGTCAGGGAAGGATGGGTCACTGGGGGACCCAAGCTTATAATTACTCCTGTCCCTGTAATTACTTGGGTCCTGTCTCGACAACCTGTTGTGCTTTCACTCCTGTCTCCCACAGCCAGAAAGTTGGTTTCTTCTCCCAAAGACTCATCACTGAACCTTCAGCCACCAGCACCCCACCCACCACCACAGCACATAAAAGCTGCCCCAGAGTCCCCCTGCTGGCTAGACCTTACACAAGATCATTCATTCAGCAAACACTCTCTGAGGGCAAACACCTTGACTCGGGGCTGTAAGCACCATACAGATAGACACCAAGTCAGCCTTCCTCACGACTGCTTCCTTGGCGGCTCAGTCCAGTGCCTGGCACAGAGAAGTAAATTGTGTTAAATGAAGAAATCCTCATCCCAGTGCCAGAAACTGCACATTAGAGTTACAAGGCAGAGGAGGTCTCTGCATTCTAGGAGTTCACAGCCAGGGAGAGAGTTTAATGGGGAAGCAGATACTTTTATTGCCATGGAATCAGGCTACAAACATGCATACCCAAACTGATTGCTACTTCATACCTACAAATCATAGAGACTACTCAATCCTCTACACATGCACCCAACACTCAGCTCCTCTTCACCCCTTGCAAAAAAAAAAAAAAAAAAAAGCCCTTATTCTCCCTCTCACAGAAAGTCTCCCTGTGGTTCCTTCCCTCTCCCCCACTATCCCTGTGGTTCCTGCCCCTCCCCCACTAATGGCCTGACTCTGATCCAGCTGGAGCCACTGACCTCTGATGACTCTGACAACTACAAATGTATTGCAAGCAATGAACATGCAGATGCCATCTACACCGTGTCCCTGCTAGTGACTGAAGGTGAGCCAGCCTCCTCTTCCTAATCTTCCCTCTTAGGGACCAAATGCCCCCTTTCTGACCCTGTCCCTCTCTCTACCTCTCTGTCCTCAGGTCAAGAGAAAATGGATTTCAAAAAGATGTTGAAGAAGAGGTGAGGCTGAAAGGCTTTTCTGCACAGGGAGCTGTCTCCCCATCCGAGTTAGAGACTCTTGAAGACCTCTCTCAACAGAGCCCTGAATTCCAAAAATCTATGGAGTAGGGAGGGGCATCTCCAGGTTGATGGAGGCTCCCTCTATCTCCAGAGGGAGGCACTGAGTATAAGCTCAGACCCCTTCTCCTTCCAGGGCTCCTCCTGCTCCCAAGAAGAAACAGAAAGTGACAAATGAGAAAGAGATGCTGGAGATTTTGTCCAAGGTACCCAAGAAGGACTTTGAGAAGGTCTGCATGGAGTACGGTTTCACTGACTTCCGGGGGCTACTCAGGAAGCTCAAAGAGATGAAGAAGAAAGTGGAGGTGGAGGTCAGTGCCCAGTAGGGAACAAGGGCAGGCCAGGGGTTGGGCCTCACCCAAAGTGCTAGTGCCTTTGCATCTCCTGACAGCAAGGTCTTCCCAGCCCTGTACCACATACTCAGAGGCATACTCTCTACTGTGAGAGGAGGAAGGGAACTCAAGTCACCTTGCTTGTACCTCTCCTCTCATCCCCACTCCCTAACATACTTGACATGGACTTTGGAGTCAGAGAGACCTGGATTCAAATCACAGTTTTATTGTCTTATTAGCCATTTGAATTTGGGTGTCTCTCCGAGCTTCACTTTCCTCATCTAGAACATGAAAATAATGCTTTCCTCTTTCATTTGTTCTTACTGTTGTCACTCACTCATTCAATCAACCAACCATCTCATATTAAGCATCTATAGTGGAATTAAATAACCTATGTAATGGGCTCAGGTATATAGCTACTGTTCTTCAAATGGTGGTTAGTTTCTCACTCCCTATCATAGTCCTCTGCCCCTAAATCTTCTAAATGATCAATGGAGCACAAAGCAGAGGGCGGGGGGATGTTATCTAATAGGCCCCAGGCCCTTAGGGGCTCCTCCAGGATTGGGAACATAGCCGAGCCAGGCTCCAGATGCAGCTGACTCTTGCCATTTTATAATTACAATTTCTCAGGCCATCAGGATTCTGAAACCTCTGGAAGATGTAGAAGCCAAGGTTGATACCACAGCGATCTTTGACTGCATCATTGAGCTGAAGGACCCCAATGTCAAGATGATATGGATCAAGGTGGGGAAGGGTCTGGCCAGGGCCCACCATAGCAGTATCATTTCCTCTTTGTACCCACAGCCTTCTGAGATCCTCTCATTATCCATAAGTGAGGGCCTCTTTTCAATCCCATCAAAAGGATGCTTCTTGGGATGGCTGTAAGAGACTGGGAGGAGCTGGACTCTAAGATGTTCCATCTCTTTGCTGTTTGATCTGAGGCACATTCCTCTCTATGCCTCAGGCTACCCATGTTTAAACTGAAAGGCTTGATTAGATAGCCTTGAAGGTCATTAAAGATCTATGTCTCTAAGAAAAAGCATCTAAGGAACTCATGCACATTAACAGTTCAGGTCTATGGGGAGCCTGTGGGGAGGCAAGGCTTGATCCCACCAAGCCAGGTGATGAGGCCAGTGAGATTGTAGGAATTCTGGGTATGTTTGGAGAAGCAGGCTTATACCTCCAGCTCAGGCTGGCTTTGGGGAAGGGGAGCTCTGGAAATCTCCTAGACCCCCCTCATCAGCTTTCCTACCTGTTCCATGAGGCAGGGTACTGAGCCACTGAGGATCCAATACTCCCTGGGCAAGTATGATGTGAAGCAGATGGGCACCAAGCACATGCTGGTTATCACCAACGTGAACATGAGCGATGCCGGCCTCTACAGCCTGTCTGTGGGTGACAAGCGAATGAGTGCAGAGCTCACAGTGCTGGGTATGCATGTGGGCACTGGGGGACACAGGGTCAGAGGAGAGGAGTGGCCAAGGATTGGGTACATGGGGATATTAGAGATGATTGTGGGGCTATGCAGGAAAGTATTGTGTGGGGATGGGAGTTCCTGAAGGAAGGAAACATGAGATGTAAGAGAGGATTGTGAGATAGTAAATGCCATGGGGAAGCGCAGCCTAGGAGTCAAGAACATGGACTCTGGAGCTAGATTACTGGGGTTCAAATTCCAACTGCTGCCACTAATGAGCTGTATACTTTAGGGAAAGTTATTTAATTTCTCTTTGACTCTATTTCCCCATATGTAAAAATGAGGAATAATAATACATCCTCCCTATATGAGAATTGCATTAAAATATGTGAATTGGCTAGAATAGTTCCTCACATGTATCTAAGACTAAATAAGTACTTTTTAAAATTGCGCCTGTGGCTCAGTGGGTGGGGCGCTGGCCCCATATACTGAGGGTGGCAGGTTCAAACCTAGCCTCAGCCAAACTGCAACAACAACAACAAAAAAAAATAGCCAGGTATTGTGGCGGGCACCTGTAGTCCCAGCTACTCAGGAGGCTGAGGCAAGAGAATCACCTAAGCCCAGGAGTTGGAGGTTGCTATGAGCAGTGTGACACCACAGCACTCTACTGAAGGCGATAAAGTGAAATTCTGTCTCTACAAAAAAAAAAAATTGCTATTAACATTACTGGGCAAGAGAACATGTGAATATCATGGGAGGGGACACCAGAAAAGAAAGGTTCACAAACAGAATGAAAGGAAGGGTACTTCTCTCCAACTAAGGGCTACTGGAGGCTCATCACCTGAGTCCCTATGTCCATGTCCCCTGCACCATCCCACCTTGCAGGGGGACCAGGACTACAGCCTAATGACTGCCTCTCTTACTCTCTGCTACAGATGAGCCACTAAAGTTCTTGGGAGAAATGAAGCCGCTGAAGGTGACAGAGCGCCAGACAGCAGTATTTGAGATCCGCCTCTCCAAGAAAGAACCCAATTTTGTCTGGAAGTTCAATGGGAAGGAACTGAAGAGGGATGACAAGTATGAAATCACAGTGTCTGAGGATGGTCTGACCCATACACTTAAGATTAAGGATGCCCGACTCAGTGACAGTGGCGAGTTCTCTGCCCAGGCTGGGGGGCTGGAACAAAAGGCCAAGCTCACTATTGACCGTAAGTAGTTGGCCAAGAGCCTAAGGGGTGGACTTCATGCCACAGAAACCTTCGTGTGGGTATTCATCATCCATCTATCCATCCATCTCCTCTTTGTCAGGTCCTGTAATGAGTACCAAAAATATAAGGTGTTCTCTTCTTTGTTAACCCCTAGTTTAGTGGGGGTTAAACTATGGTACTGCCACTGACCTTGTGGATGGTAAGACCCATCCAGTCAATCATCACTGACCAATTCCTCTGCCCTGACAATCCCCTACAGTGGATAGGGGGCAGATATGAAAATGAAATTAGAATTACTGTTCTTGAGGCTAGGTGCAGTGGCTCATGTCTGTAATCCTAGAACTGTGGGCAGCCAAGGTGGATGGATTGCCTGAGTGCAGGAGTTTGAGACCACCTAAGCAAAAGCAAGACCTCATATCTACTAAAAACTGGCCAAGCATTGTGGTAGCAGATACCTGTAGTCCCAGCTACTCAGGGAGACTGAGGCAGAAGGATTGCTTAAGCCCAAGAGTTTGAGATTGCTATGAGCTATGATGCCATGGTACTCTCCCCAGGGCGACAAAGTGAGATTCTATCTCCAAAAAAAAGAATTGCTGTTCTTATTTCAAGAGCCAAGACAGACTGGGGTCTCATCATCTGGGAGATCATGGACTAAGAAGTTATAGCTCTAGTATCATATATTATAGTACTCTCAACTACTCACATTCTGATATTATAACTCACTTAGGGATTTGTACATCATAATGTATACACTAATGAGCATGTCACACATGTGAACCACACCTGGGATATCCATCACATGGAATTATCATCGCCATGATGGTGAGAGACAAAAAAAAAAAAAGAGCTGACAATGTCAGAAATTATATGATAAGGTGATATCCAAGTTTTACCAAGAAAAAAGTTCAGATTTCAGAGAAATGGGGAGAGTAAAGGACATCACCAGCAAAAGTAACAGCCATGTACAGAGGCCCAGACACCAGTCAGACAATGTAGGTATGGCATGGCTGGAGATCCAAGAGATTGGGGGCGGGGGGTATTAGAGATGTGGACTGCTGTGCTTTGAAAGTTCTTTTCCCATTTTACAATAAAGAAACTGAGACTCAGAAAGGCAAATGTGTTGTGTACAGTCGACTGTCAAGTAAGGGGCAGAGCTGGGATGGTCCCTGTCAAGTGCTTCAGTGAGTCACATACTGCACACAAACACATTCAACATTGCAAGTTCCTGCCAAACGGGCGGGGGGGTGGGGGGGGCGGGCCAGGGCAGCATATAGCTGTAGAAAAAGGATGTAGTGATTCAGGAGCAGGCCCAATTGTCTGTGTTTCTGTCTGCAGGAATCCCCATCAATTTTGTAAGCACCCTTAAAAATGTACGTGTGAAAGAGAGGAGCCGAGCATGCCTGGAATGTGAGCTGACATCTAAGGATGTGACCCTGCGCTGGAAGAAGGATGGACAGCTGCTGGCACATGGCACTAAGTACAGCATGAGCCACGAGGGCAAGCGAGCAGAGCTGGTCATTGAGGATGCACAGCTCAGTGACGATGGCGAGTACACTGTGGTGGCCATGCAGGATGGGGACCCCACTGAATACTACAGTACTGCCACCGTCACTGTGGATGGTAAGACCCACCCTGTCAATCTCCATTTACCAGTTCCTCTGACCCTGGCACTCCCCTACAGTGGCCCCACTACTGACCCCAATCCTCCCCCAGACCATGACCAACTTGTATTTCCCTGCTTCACCATCCCCATCTCCCAAATTCTAACAATGCACTGAATATCCATATCTCCTAAGCCATAGTCATCCCCCATCTCCCAGTCTCTATTCCAAATTCCCTGACTTCATTCTTCACTTTTCAGACCCTAACCATCATCAGCAATCCTGATCTGACCACAAATCCTTGACTGGAACCATCTCCTACTCCCTAACCAGACCAACTCTCCACTGCCCCAGGCTACCCCCAACACCCAGTGACCCTGGGCATCCTATAGACCACCATAAACACAACTAAATATCCCAGTTCCACTAATCATCTCCGTCATCTATTCCCCTCTTCAGCCAAGCATCCTAAGTCCCTGCTAACCATTGCCGGCTCATCAACTCCCTATTAACCAGCTCCCAGAAAGACTTTCTAGGAGAGGGTTAGCCATTTCCTAAGCCTTGGCCTCTTCCCCAATCCCTCCCACCTATTTGCTCCAGCGTCCCTCCCACTATCCCCCAATCACCCACTGACCATTGGCAAGCCACCTATTCATCATAAATTATTGTGATTGACGTTGCACCCCTGTTTCCATGACCTAAACCACCAAACCCTTTTCCTATGAGTCCCTTCCACCCCAGCACTCTGACCCAGTCCTTCCCCCTTTCTCCCCAGAGCGTCTGGCCACGGTGAAGAGCGGGATGTCTGACATACACGCGGCCACCGGGAGCCCGTCGGAGTTGTGCGTAGTGCTGAACGACGAGAAGGTGGAAGGCGTGTGGCTGAAAGATGGCAAGGAGATCCAGATCACGGACTTGCCTGGTGTGCAGATTGTGAAGCAGGGTGCAGTGCACAAGCTCATCTTCCCCAATACTGGCCCCGAACACGAGGGCAAGTACACGTTCCGGGCCAAGGGCGCAGAGAGCGAAGCTTCTCTGTACATCGCAGGTATGCTCCAGCCCAGGGTGGACAAAACTCAACCAGCCTGCACCTGGCCCGCCCACACGCTTATAGCTCCTCCCCATTCCCATTGGCTCCTCCCCTATTGCCGAGGCTCCTCCCATATTACCGAGGCGTCCTCAAACTACAACCTAGGACATTTATCCGGCCCGCCGGGTGTTTTTGCTGCCGCTGCCTGTCCTGCTTAGCAGCCGACTCATCCCGGGGCCCGCTGTCCGGCCCTCCAACAGTCTGAGGGACAGTGAACTGTCCCCCTGTTTAAGAAGTTTGAAGGCCCCTGCTTCCTTGCCACCCTTCTCTGCAGATCCTCCTGCCATCGACCCATCTGTACTTGAGGCGCTGGCGGCGCACCCAGTGACCGTGAAGGTAGGTCACACGGCACACATCAAGGTGCCTTTCCGGGCAAAGCCACTGCCCAAAGTAACATGGTACAAAGATGGCATGGAGGTAACCGAGGAGGAGCGCGTGTCCATGGAGCGTGGGGAAGACCAAGCTCTACTAACCATCTCAAAATGTGTGCGTGAAGACAGTGGCCTAGTGCTTCTCAAGCTCAAGAATGACCATGGCTCAGCCACAGCCACTCTGCACCTCAATGTGCTGGGTAAGAGCAGGGGTGGGCTGAGGGCTCCAGGTGCCCAAGCTCAGGAGGGAGGCCGGGGCTGAGTTGGAGTTGGAGCTGGGAGTGGGACTGAAGGGCTACCTTTGCAGCCAGAAACCCACTTCCTAACTTCCTAACTAGGTGGCCGTGGTCAAGTGAACCTCTCTAAGCCTCAGCTTCTCACCAGAAATACAGTGATTTTCCCCCCTAGTATCTATTTCTAGTGAATTTAAAGTGCATAGTCAAGTGCACAGCACATAATAGACTTTCAAATATGTTACTTAAGTATTGACTTGAAGATGAGGACATGGTTGGAGGTAAGGTGGAAATGAAGTAAAAAAAAAAAGGTGAAATTTGGGGATGGGGTAAGGTTGATTGGGAAGAGTAGTAAGGATGGATGTGAAATGGACTGGGCTGGGAGATTATTCAGGGCTAGGGATAAAATAAGTTGGAAGAGGAAGATGGAAAGGGGGGTGAGAATGAGATTTGGGATTGGTCTGAACATGGGGACAAGGAAAGAAATGAGGCGCTAGCCTTCATGAACTTATATTCAACATGCAACACATACACATGGTCATCACCTCCTCTACCTGAGTTTCCATCATGCTATGGGGTGGGAAGGTTTGAGTTTCAATTCAATTCTATGCATGACTGAGCATCTCCTCTGTGTTCTCAGTGCTAGGGATGCAGAAATGAAGTATCCCCAGCAGTTCCTCAACCCAAAAGGGATGAAACTGATAGACAGATATGTAATTATAATATAAGATAAATTGTGATAGCAGAAAGCACATGTGTTCTCAGAAGAGGTAGGAATCCTGTCTGCAAGGGGATTGGTAGGGGATCCCCCTAAGCCAGGGACCCCTCAGGTCCCCAGACCACCCACTCCTAGGCAAGTGGGAGGTTCAGGGGACAAGGATCAAACTCTTTGAGCAAGTCTTAGAAGAAGGGGCAGTGGACATAGGCAATGGCAAGGGATCCCAAAAGCTCAGGACCTGGCTGTGCCCCAGCCTGGCCAGACCTTCGGTGGGAGGGAGGAGGCCTTTCTGATTCTTTGCTCCAAAGTTCCATTCTGAAGCTGTTCTTTGTCCCTAGACCGTCCCAAGCCTCCACAGGGCAAGGTGGAGTTCCTGGAGCTCTCAGGTAGTTGTGTGCACATGAAGTGGAAGGCTCCAAAGGACAACGGTGGGCGCCCTGTGACACAGTTCATTGTGGAACGGAGGGCAGTCGGCAAGAAGTCCTGGATTAAGATAGGCGAGGTGGATGGCAAAGTCACCGACTTCTCTACCAACAAGGTGGAAGAGGGAAAAGCCTACCAGTTCCGTATCCTTGCAGTCAATTCAGAAGGCGTGAGCGACCCGCTGGAGACTGATGAAGTGTTTGCAGGAAATCCCATAGGTCAGTGAGATAGCCTGGGGTCAAGGGGTCAAGATTGGGGCCTTCAGCCCGTGAGGAATACTGGTCTGTAGGAAGTTCCACAGGATCATCTCCCTAGCTATCCCAGGAGACAGACTGATTCCAGAACATCACCTCAGGTAGGAATCATCAACTTTGGCCAGTCATATTTTGTGCACAATACACTCCCAGAGGTGTATGCAGTCCATGCTTAATTCCAAGGAACTGACTCCACTGTCTCCATTCCAGAAATCATCCTAGAATCCAAGTGAGCATGATGTTGCTTCAGGGATAACCTTGAATCCATTCTAATATTTTCCAAAAAAAACCCCTGACACCTGCGGTTTACTTGCGATTGCTAATAAATTAATTGCTATACCCTCCCTGAATGACCTCCATATCTCAGTGTGTCAAGACAGTAAGTAGATTGAGAACTGTGGCCACACAAGTGGGAAAGTGTTTGTTAAGCAATGATTCCCAATAGTGGCTACACATTAAAATCACCAAGGGTCTTTTAAAATGCTAACACAGGGTAGCGCCTGTGGCTCAGTGAGTAGGGTGCTAGCCCCATATACCTAGGGCGGTGGGTTCAAAGCTGGCTCCAGCAAAACTGCAACAACAACAAAACAAAGAGATGCTCCTGCTTCAACCTCCTGAGTAATTGGGACTATAAGTATCATGCTACCCTGACACCTGGTTAATTTTGGCTCCATGCCTGTGGTTCAAGCAGCTAAGGCGCCAGCCACATACACCTGAGCTGGCAGGTTCAAATCCAGCCCAGGCCTGCCAAACAACAATATGCCTGCAAACAAAAAGTAGCCAGGCGTTGTGGCCAGCATCTGTAATCTCAACTACTAGCGAAGCGGAGGCAGAAGAATCACTTGAGCCCAGAAGTTGCAGGTTGCTGTGAGCTGTGATGCTACGGCACTCTACCCAGGGTGACAGCTTGAGGTTCTATCTTAAAAAAATAAAATGAAATGAAATAAACTACTAACACATGCCATCCATCCCAGGCCAATTAAATTAGAATATTGGGCTAAGCAAGGTGGCTCATGTCTGTAATCCTATCACTTTGAGAGGACAAGGCAGAAGGATCACTGGAGCCCAACATAGTGAGACCCAGGTCTCTACAAAAAGTAGAAAAGTTAGCCAGGAATAATGGCCTGCATTTGTTGTGCTAGCCACTCAAGAGGCTGAGGCAGGAGGATTGCTTAAGCCCAGGAGTCTAAGGTTACAGTAACCTATGATGATGCCACTGTACTCTAGCCACTGATGATGCCACTGTACTCAGGCAACAGAGTGAGATCTTGCCTCAAAAAATAAATAAATTAGATTATCAAGGTGTGGGTTTGTTCTTACTTTCCACGTGTATTAATGAGCAACCAGAGTTAATCATTAAAGTTACCTCTTGGGAATGAGACACAATTATAAGAGGGGCTTTGCCTAACAAATGCAATCAATGTAACCTAATTCTTTGTACCCTCAATAAATCCCAAATAATAAAAAAAAAAAATCATTAAAGGTTTTGGGGGGGACTGAGCACAGTGGCTCATGCCTATAATCCTAGCACTTTGGGAGGCTTAAGTAGGAGGATTGCTTGAGGCCAAGAATTTGAGAGCAAGACCCTCCTCTACAAAAGAAAAAAGAAAAAAAACAGAAAAATTAACCATGTGTGATGAGGCACTCATCCAGCCTACTCAGGAAGCTGAGAAAGGAGGATTGCTCAAGCTTAGGAGTTTGAGGCTACGGCGAGCTATGAAGATGCTACTGCAGAGTGAGATGCTGTCTCAAAAAAAAAAAAAATTAAAGTTTTTTTTAAGGATGAGCAGAGGTCAGTGTGGAGTAGACAACTGTATATGTGTTTCCCCCTCCTAACCTTTGCCCTCTGTCTGTCCCCCACAGAGCCACCTGGTCTTGCCTCCCAGCCTCAAGTGACTGATGTGACCAAAGAGGCCATGACTATCACATGGAATGCCCCTACCCAGGATGGGGGAGCCCCAGTGCTCGGCTACATTGTAGAGCGGAGAAAGAAAGGCAGTAATTTGTGGGTGCCAGTCAACAAGGACCCCATCCAAGGTGAGGCCCTAGAGACGGAGGCCCAGGAGAGATCAAAAGAACTTTTGCTGAGTGGACCCATCACTACTCTGAATGTCCTCCCTTCCCTAACTCTTTTGGAAGTTCTAACAACATCCCATGACCTCCTTTTCAATGTTCTCTCACTCTGTTCTTTTATCGCCTTGATGCTCCCGGCCTCAACCACTTATCTTCCCATTTCAGGCACCAAGTACACTGTGGATGGTCTCCTGGAGGACACAGAATATGAATTCCGAGTTATAGCTGTAAATAAGTCAGGCCCTGGACAGCCCAGTATGCCATCCAGCTCAGTAGTGGCCAAGGATCCTGTTAGTAAGTACGGAGCTGTCAGGCCCCAGAACATAGTGGAATTAGCTCATTCAAAGTAGATAGAGAATTTCCTTCCTGGGAAAGTCACCAGCCTCCACTCTCTGGAAGCTAGCAGCTTCATAGAGGGATAGGATTCACACACAAGAGAAAGGGGGAAAATAAAGATTGAAAGTCAGGGACAGTGGCTTGGCGCCTGTGGCTCAAGTGGCTAAGGCGCCAGCCACATACAAGGTGGCAGGTTCGAATCCAGCCTGGGCCTGGAAACAATGACAAAAACAACAATGACGGCTGCAACTAAAAAATAGCTGGGCGCTGTGGTGGGTGCTGTGGTCCCAGCTACTTGGGAGGCTGAGGCAGGAGACTCACTTGAGCCCAGGAGTTGGAGGTTGCTGTGAGCTGTGATGCCACAGCACAGGGGGATAGCTTGAGGCTCTGTCTCAAAAAAAAAAAAAGAAAAAGAAAGTCAGGGACAGTGAAGAGGTAAGATGCAAGAAGTTTTTATCAAGCTTTGAGTGTTTCTGGTTAGGTGAGATAACAGGCATGTTGAGGATTGAATGAGGGTGTTCGGGAAATATGTGGGAAGGTATTGAGTTTAGGAAACAAGGTGGAGGTCCTGCCTGTCAATGGTCATGGTGGAGGTGGCTAGGGTAAAGGCTAGCGTTTTGAATATAGCATATGTATACATTAAGAGCAGTGGTTCTCAATCTGTGGGTCACGACCCCTTTTTAACAATGAAAATACATTGCAGCATTAGGAAGATTGAGAACCACTGATTTAGAGGGTATTGACATTAGGGGTGAAAGTATTGAGTCAGTAAGAGAATTAAATTTGAATTTGGAGGTTGCTGAATATGCACAGTTAGGTATTAAGGGTTTAACTGTGGGAGCTGGACATAGAAGTGGTAAAAACTAGGGTTCAGGTATACAGTGTAGGAAGTGGGCACTGCATTGAGTGGAGATGAGTTGGGGGCCAACTGTATGTCTTTTTTATCCTAGAGCCCCCAGGCCTGGTGCAGGGCCTGCATGTGTCTGATTCCTCCAACTCCAGCATCTCCTTGGCCTGGCGGGAGCCTGCAGAAGGTGACCCACCCTCTGGCTACATCCTTGAGATGCGGGCTGAAGACACCAAGGAGTGGTCCAAGTGTACAAAGATCCCCATCTCAGGCACCTGCTACACCGTGGGAGGCCTCACTGAGAGGCAGAAATACTTCTTCCGAATCCGGGCTGTGAACGAGGCTGGGGTTGGGGAGCCTGTGGAGCTAGACGAGGGGGTCCGTGCCATGCCACCACCAGGTCAGAACACAGAGAGGGCGTGGGTTCATGCCCAATATCCGAGCTCCAAACCTCTTCCCTGGGGCCTCAATCCAGAGGGGAAAATTGGGTGAAGATCAAGAATAAGTCATACAATTTATTATATCTGGACAGAGATATATCCAGGGGCACCCCTGCTTAAAAAAAAAATAAAAAAAATTCTCAACTTTGTGTCAAGGGAGATGTTAGAGACTTGGACACAAGACATAGGACCTGCCTTCTATGGTCTTACATACTAGTAGAAGACAGATGAGAAAACAAATGCTTCACAGTGTTGCAGAACAGCAAGATGTTTTGTTGCCTTTAGAGGGGCATAAAAGAGAAGAGGTTGGAAAAGGCTTTGGTGGAGAGACTTAAAGCTGAGTCTTGAAAGAGAGGCCCATGCCTCCACCTTTGTCTCCTCCATCTCAGCTGCACCCAAGTTTGACCTCAGTGCCCGGCTGAAGAGTCACATGGTGGTTCGTGCTGGGACAGCCCTCTGCATCCATGCAGCCTTCTCTGTGAGTTGTTCCTGACCCTAGCCCCTTGGCCCCCACTATTATAGCCATCATTAGTCTCTGCCTCTGCCTCTGCCCCTTAACAGATTCCTGGTGCTAGAGGCTGACAGAAGACTCCTTGACCTGGAAGGGGGGGCAACCTACCTCCAAATACCATCTAAGTGACCAAAAGTGCCATCTCCCACACAGGGCTCACCACCACCCAATGTGATATGGCAGAAAGATGGCATCCCCACCAAGGGTCGAGAAACCATTACCAAGGGCAAAAACCACTCCCAGTTCCTCATCAATAGCACCAAGCGCTCTGACTCAGGGGTGTACCGGATCTTGCTCCAGAATGAGTTTGGAGAGGCATACTACGACATCCACGTGCGTGTGGCAGGTATGGAATTCCTACCATGGGAAAGTTGTGCCTTAAGATAGTGAAACCTTCTTTGACAACACAGAGCAAAATTTCATCAGCCTAGTAGAGAGGGTCTGAAGCTGTGGAGGCACTGAAGTAGGACCAAGCCCTTGTTTCAGTTTCTGCAGTCATATCTGGCAAGCTTTGAGACATATATAGAGTATGGTCAGCAGAAAGAGTAGAGAATTGATGAAAGGCAGGAGGCGCAGGGAGAGATGAATCTGTTAAAAATTGAGGTGACCTCTTAGAGCTGGAAGCTATACAGTAAAGCTCTAAATGCCAAGGAAAGAAGGGATGAACTTTTATTGAACAGTAACTACACGCCAGGCACTTTACCCACTATTTCTATGAAATAGTCACTGTTTAGCCCTATTATAAAAATGAGGAGGCTCGGTGCCTGTGGCTCAAGCGGCTAAGGCACCAGCCACATACACCTAAGGTGGCAGGTTCGAATCTCCAGCCCGGGCCCGCCAAACAACAATGATGGCTGCAACCAAAAAATGGCCAGGCGTTGTGGCGGGCGCCTGTGGTCCCAGCTACTTGGGAGGCTGAGGCAGGAGACTCGCTTGAGCCCAGGAGTTGGAGGTTGCTGTGAGTGTGATGCCATGGCACTCTACCCAGGGGGATAGCTTGAGGCTCTGTCTCAAAAAAAAAAAAAAATGAGGAAAGGGGTCTCAGAAAAGATAAGTAACTTCCCAAAGTCACAGGGCTAGTAAATGGCACAGCAACACTTCAGAAATAGTTTCTTCTGACTTTAAGACACCAACTGACTTAGACCAAGAGAGGTTGTGCCCCATCCCGTCTTCCATTAGGCTTGGCAGGTGGCTAGGGTGAGGGCACCTCAGGCCACCTAAAGTCATAGGCCTTCCAACTCTTCCAGATTTCCCCCGACTCCCCACAAACTTACAGCTGTTTGAGGAGGTCCCCAACACTGTGACTTTGACCTGGAACCACAGCCCTGATGTGCAGGAGGACGGGGAGGCCCACTATGTCATCATGAAGCGGGATGCAAGCACTGCCACCTGGTACACGGCAGCCGAGCGTGTCTTCAGCAACAAGTACACAGTCACTGGGCTGCTCCCAGGCAGGAAGTACTACTTTAGAGTGGTGGCTCGGAATGAAATCGGTGACAGTGAACCACTCGACTCCAGGGACACCTGGCTTGTCAATAAGGACAAGAGTGAGTTGGGGCCTTGAGGCTTCGAGTTATGTCTGGGAGCCCTGATCATGGGGATGGCATTAAGTCACAAGGGGTACCCAGGCGGTAAGAGAAAATCTGAGAACCGTTGCCTTCAGAGAGTTCAGCGTCTATGTCGCTGGGGAGAGAAGTAGATGTCAGGGGAGTCTAGCTGAGGCGCCTTCCTCCGAGTGCTTTGAGGGTGGAGGTAGGGAGGTACCTTTGGGGGTGGGAATGACGGAGGGACAGGGAAAAGCGTGGAGGGGCGGGACTTAGAGGCACGCCCTCTCTGAGGGAACGGCTTCTGGGAATCCTGGAGGAAGGGGTTAAGGGTCCGGATGGCGTCCAAATGAGGGGCTAAATAAGAGAGAGAAGATGTGGAAGCTGAAATTACGTAGGGGAAGCTTGGAGGCGGAGTTAAAGGCGGATAACAACTGAGAACACCCAGCTTCAGGAAGCTGGGGCTGGAAAGACATCTAGGACCCTGGGTCTGGGGAAGTGTAAAAACCTGTGAACCCTGGAGTGGCTGGGTGAGGGATGGAGGCAGGGTGAAGGGGTGAAGGCGGTGTGGGGATAACCGATATAAACTTTAGGCTTCCAGAGTTGATGGTCTGGGAATCTGGCCCAGGTCTTCAGGGTTCCAACGCGCTTTCTGAGCTCTAAGAAGGGTGGGCCAGGCGGAAGTCTGGGGAGCTGGGAGCAGGTTTACACCCGTATTGTCCTCCCTACTCCCACCCCCACCCCTCGCAGTTGAGGACATGAGCGCCAAGCTGAAGCCCTACGAGCAGAAGGACTGGCGCCACGCACCTCGCTTCCTGACCCCCCTCAAGCCGCACACCGTGCTCCGTGGCCAGGACTGCACTATGACCTGCGCCTTCCTTGGGAACCCGCGGCCCACGGTGACCCTTTACAAAGGCGACGTCAACATCACGGCCAACTCTAAGTTCTGGTACAACTCCACCAGTGGCGTGTGCACCCTCGTCATCCCCACCTGCACGCTAAAGGACACCGGCGAGTACAGCGTGCTGGTGGAGAACGAGTTGGGCAAGGACCGCAGCAGCTGTACGCTCACTGTCTACGGTGAGGTCGGGGAGGGCGCCTGGGACGTAGGGGGTGGGAGACGAGGAAGGCCAGGGCAGAGGTGCAAAATGGTCGAATGGTGGATCATGAGTCAACGCTCTTCGTTTGGCTGGGCACCGGTTTTTATTTAATCTGCTATCAGGTGATGCAAACATTCTTAATTGGCCACAGTTCTTACCACTCTCCCGTTCTCTGGATGTCATTTGTTATGTGCACTGGCCCCTATAGATGTTGGAGTTCTCCATCCCTAGATAAGAAGTGGTTTGCAACCCTTGTGGGGACTACACCTGCCTTTAAAAAAAGATACTGGACTAAACCAGATTCACCAATCACAAATTCTCTGACAGGGTTCAGGAAGGAATCTATGTTTGCAAAATTTTGCAAGTGATTCTGATATGCAACCAACGATTGGTCTAGGATAAGGACACGGGAGGTACAAATAAGGGGACTGGAGAGAACCCTCCCTTTTTGCACATGCATGCCATGTTTCTGCTCATGTGTGCACAAACAGGGAAATATTTTATTCCTTCCCACATAGTCTATTGTCTTCATAGCTACTCAGCTAGTAGCAGCATGAACTCTTTAAATCAGGGGTTCTCAACCTGTGGGTTGTGACCCCTTTGTAACAATGAAAATACATCCTGCATATCAGATATTTACATTACGATTCATAACAGTAGCAAAATTACAGTTATGAAGTAGCAACAAAAATAATTTTATGGTTGGGGGTCACTACAACATAAGGAACTGTATTAAAGGGTCACAGCATTAGGAAGGTTGAGAACCACTGCTTTAAATGCAAAGCTCACCTGCTTTGCTTTCTCTTTCTGAAGTTACTCCCCTAGCTTTCCTACCCCCAAATAAAATCCCAAACGAACAAGGTTCCCCTCTCCTTAACCTCTCCGGTCACATCTTCTGCCACTCCCTGAACTCTCCATGGCACTCCAGTGCTGTGGTCTCCATGGTTACAGACCCTTTTTATCCAGTTATATATGTCCGTCCTTGGGGAAAGGACCATATCCTGTTGCTCTGTCTCTCAAGTGTTTAAATGTCTGGCACTGAAATGATGTCTCCAGAGTGGCTGCCGAACTGCAACAGAACTAGGCCAGGGAAAGCACTGTGGGAGCTATCCAGCTTTCATTGCACAATCAGAGATCCCCAACAATTTAACTCTGGTTGTAAGCACATGGGCCCAGGGCCCTGGCTCTACCGCTGAACAGCCGTGTGACTATGGCAAATTCTCTGAGCCTGTTTTCTACTCATAGGGCTCTGAGGTGTAAATGAGATAGTGTATGAAGTGCCTGGCACAGTACCTGGCAAATATTAAATGCTGAATAAATGGTAGCTCTTGACCCCATATACTCTGCCAACCCAGGATTAAGAGTCCCAAGGTCCAGCCCCTGGTTCCCATGTAGGAACTCCAAGTCCAGCAGTTTTGAGTTTCCCTGGCATCATTAATACAAATACTTGGTTTTCTCTTTCAGACAAAGATGACAAGTCAATTCTAGCATCCCTCACTGAGAATCTGCAGAAGAAATCAAAGCACCTTATGTGAGCTCCAGTCCAGGCATCAAGAGGCTGTTGTGATGTAGGGCTTCTTGGCCTGTCCTCTGCATGCCCAGTGTAGGCATCCCAAGTTGCTCTCTGGTGCTTGTCAATGCAAACATTCAGTGAAGGGAGGGGACAATAAACTAGAATCCCTCTTTCTTGTTCCTGAGAGTGGTATATATCAGGGACCAAGAGGAAAGACATAGGCATGGGATGAAGACTCACAGACCTCGACCCCTAAGAGCCCTGTCCAAACTCATCCACATAGGAGTGACCATCCCCCTTTTTGACTGGGCCCCTCCTCTGCATCTACCCTGTACCCTTTCCCTCCCCTCAAGGACTGGGGGCAAGTCTTGCTGACTTCATCTTTCTCCCCACCCTGCTCCATCCCTAGTTCATATTAGGTAGGTTCATGTTCAGAGCTCTGGGGTTTGAAAGGATCAGAACTTTGCCTCTTTAGTGACCAGGGTTCCCACTATCAGAGCTAGAAGGAATTGGTCACCCGGCTCACTAAGTTTCAAATCTATGTTTTGCAGTGGAATACTTTCTGAAAAAAAAAAAAAAAAAAAAAACTTAAGGAGCTACTGGACTTGAAACAAGACTAGGGAGTTTTTGAGCCTGCCTTCTCTCCTTATTCCTTTGCTACTCCCCATAAGGAATCTCTGTAAAAACCCTAATCGAAAAATCACTTATTCATCCAACACACACAATGATACTTGAGTCTCCTGTATCACATCTCCACAAATGTGCAATGCCTTTACAAAATGGCATATTTACCACCATCCAAGGCTTCCCTTTCTACTTCTGGGTAGCGCATTGCCTGTTAAAATGCAAATACCCCTGGAGTGGGAGTGGGGTGACAAATTATTCTGCCAGGGCTTTACATCTAAAGTATGAATCAGCTAATCTAATCCCATTCCTCCCAGCTGTTCAACTAGGAGAAGGAGATACTTTAAGGGAATCTGGAACAGGCAGTGGATGTGGGGTGTGGGGGGAGGAGGTGGGCAGCAGGGTAACTGAAGGTCACCAAGGGTGTTGGGCATCTGTGCACAGGGGAGTGCATCAAGACCACATTTGGACAGTGGCAAATACTATCCATCCCCCATCCTCCTGAATCACATCCTCACCCACACATGTGACCAGGGAAGTGAGACCCACTCCAACCAGCACAGTGTCACCAGAGCCAGGGAGCCAGCCTGGCGCCAAGGTGCACTGGCCAAGACTATGATACAGGCTCTGAGGACAGCCAGGGGCCCTGGCACCATGCCCCCACCCCTTCTCCAGGACAGGCACGTGCCACACAGGCAGTCAAGCAGGATAGCCAATGGCCCTTGGTTTTTATTTTTTTTTCACATGGGCAGTATAGGATGGAGTTTTCCCATCCTTGCTCCCTTTGCATTGAATGTGCCTTGGGTCTTATGACCCCAGAGTGTCATTAGAGCCCCCTCTTCTTGCTCCTAGTGCAGGAGGGGCAGGGAGGAAAGCTCTGGGAGTATGTATGTTAGGGGGAGGGGTTCCAGCTCTCTGAGCCAGACTCAGCACCCCCTCAGCAGCTCCCTAAGGCCCTCTCCCTTTGAGACTTTGACAGCAGGACAGAGACATACGGCAGAGAAAGACATAGGCAGGCTGAGAGACAGACTAAACACACACTAACACACAAGAGACACAGAGACACACACAGGCTGGCCCCTTCCTTTGGCATGATTCACCCTAGCCCTGGGGACAGGGTCTCAGGGTAGTAGTATGAGGCCTGAGTTTTGGACTGGCCTATGAGAGATGGGGCCAACTTGAATCCTTTGGTACCCCTAGCTCCCCGACCAAAGAAGTTCCCTCTCCTGCCTGGCCTGGACAGATGCCCCTTCACCTTCCCACCCACCACTTAGAGATTAAGATTGTTCAAGTAACAAGGATAGAAGGAGGAAAGAGTGACCTGGACTCTAGTCCAATCTTCCCAACCAGGGGCCTGTGAGAAGGACTTCAAACCCCAAGGCTGGGTCATATCAGGATAGATTTCTCCTGTCTCTTCTTCAAACTCTGTATAGATCAAAAGTAGGAGTGGGTGAACCCAGCACTGCCATTGGTCCTAGGCATATGAGATAGAGTCAGATTCTTCCACCTAATAAGGGAAGGGGTAGGGTGTCAAGAAACTGAGCACCATCACCCTCCAAGGGGGCTTTGACGGTCCTGATGGGGTAGAGGTGGGGAAATTCCTACTTCTGACTCCAGCAAGGTATAAGGCTGACTCTTTTAGCTCACAGCATTGTCCTGGACCACTAGCTTTGCTAAGGAGATTCTTTTCCTTCTTACCCCCCTCAAACTTGTGAACTCCCCCACGAGGTACCTGCTGCCCCAGGCTGGCACTGCAGCCATCCTGATCCAGCTCCTGCAGGTTCCTAGGGTCTGGACCCCAGCCCCAGGAGGAGAGAGGGGTGACCAGACCCTGGCACCTCAGTTGGCCTTGCTTAGTCTATAGTCTTCCACGGGATCCCGGCTCTCAACAGCTGACAGAGCGATGAGCATCTGGGCAGCGTAGTAAGTGGACATGATGAGTGCCCGCGAGTAGGGCACGGGAAAGCAGAATTTGTTGAGGGCAATGGTCATGTCTGAGATGATAAAGAGCACTGCACCACTGCCAGCCGCCAGCTCAGTCCAGCGCCAGGCTGCCCCATCCAGCCGCAGCCCTGCCATAGCTCGCCAGCCCATGAAGCCGATAAGGGCCACATAGACACCCACCAGGTAGGTGAAGGCACCTGAGAGGCCTGGGTAGAGGAGGGCATAGCACAGGCCCGATAGCACTGCCATCACCAGACCTGTCCGAAGAGCCAATGGCCGCATACCAAAGGCTGAAGCGTAGAACATGTGGGTCACAGCAAACATCAGCAGACCTGGGAGTGAGAAGGGATAAAGGATGCTGAAGGCAGGATTGGTAAGGAATGAGTAATAGGGTAGGGGTGGAGTGGAGTGTTTGGGATAGCCCAGGAGCTTTGCCTCGGGAGTAACAGGGGTGGGAAGATCCACAAAAGTAATGGCCATCACCCTCATACCCCTGAAGAACTCTAGAACTGATCAGGAGGTCAGCCTCTAACAGAGGCCATCATAGTCCCTGAGCACAGAAACCCTTGGATTCCCCATATTCTGGTTCAAAAGCTCTGTCCCCAAATCTTTGCCCCCCCCCAACCCTCTACCCTCCACACCCACAACCCCTCCCAGGTAGCTAGTAGGGCCACTAACCATGCACAAAGTATCCTTGATCCTGCCAGATGAGGAAGGCATCACCTACAGCAGAGAAGACAAGCCCCACAAAGATGCGGGTGGCACTGGGGTGGGCCAGCAGGAATCCTAGGCCATGGGCCAGAAGGAAGAGCCAGAGACAGAAGATAGGCAGGCACTTGATGAGGGCACTGACCCACGATGGGCTGGACGAGGGCAGCCAGAGCACAAAATACACGCAGGTGGCCTTGAAGAAGGGCACCAATTTGGGTCCCTCACTCTTCACCTAGAGAACACAGGACAAGTACAGCGCTCACAGGAGTTTTCAGATCCAGCACCCTCAGCTTGGGTATCTACCCAGAGACAGGTCCACCCCCACTCACCTCACCCCACAACCCCCATCTCACTTCCACCTCCAAGCAGGGAAGATCGACACAGAGAAACCCAGCCTGGCCTGTCCCAACCAGCCAGCAGGATGTGAACAAACCTATCACCACCATGAGGCTCATTTTATTAGGAGGGGGATGGGCTCCACTATTTTTGCTACCTGTGTCCACTCTTGGCCTGGGGCTTGGCCAGAATGGTTAATCACTGGGCAGCAAACAAATCCTAGGATACTGTCCCCTTCTGCAGCCCAAGGCTTCTCCCTCCCTGTCCCTGTCCTTTCCCTCCCCAGGCCCCCCTCTCTGCCAGGATCAGCCCCCAACTGTCTAAAGTGGAGTGAAGTCAGCAGGAAACCACAAGAAACGCCCTGACTGGCGAGCTCGTGATTCTTAGTGGTGGGGCCAGGGCACAGGCTTAGGGCCCTGGCAACACCAGGTGAGTGCCAGGAATGTGGGAGGGTGAGCAATGCCAACTACCTCAACCCTCAAGCCCTCTCCTCCTCAATCAGTCTGCTCTTCCGCCACCAGTCCATCAGCCCCAGCCTAAAGGTGGCATCAAGGGCAAGAAAGGTGCTAGGGATGCTGGCCAGATAATGAACCCCTAAGTTGGAAGCAAGAAAACTGTCCCTGAAACACTAGAGATTTCAGAGACTGGGGGGAGTGTGTGTGTGTGTCAGTCAGTCTCATTTCCCAGAGAATAAGAGCAACCCAAGGCACACCAGAAAGACAGGAAGGGGGGAGGGGTTCTCTTACCAACTTCTGATCTGGAGCCAGCCAACAGACTGGGAGGAGATGGAGAACTGAGAGGGGGAAGTTAGAGCAGCTGACTTGGTCTCAGGCAGATTAGGGGGAGGGCAGCTAAAGAAAGGTTGTACCGGCTCGGCGCCTATAGCTCAACAGGCTAGGGCGCCAGCCACGTACACCTAAGGTGGCGGGTTCGAATCCCCAGCCCGGACCCGCCAAACAACAATGACGGCTGCAACCAAAAAATAGCCGGGCGTTGTGGCGGGCGCCTGTGGTCCCAGCTACTTGGGAGGCGGAGGCAGGAGACTCGCTTGAGCCCAGGAGTTGGAGGTTGCTGTGAGCTGTAATGCCACAGCACTCTACCCAGGGGGACAGCTGGAGGCTCTGTCTCAAAAAAAAAAAAAAAGAAAAAAGAAAGGTTGTACCCAAGGCCATTGCAGGCAGAGTCCAAGCTGTGGGAGAAGGCTGCTGCAAATGTTTTGAATCTGTGACCTCTGAACCTCCTTTCCTTGGGCTGCTAGTATAGGGTCACTGAGGGTGACATGGAGCAGCTGGGGTTCCCTGGTAACACACATTCTGCCCAAAATGATTGTACCTCTGGCTGGATGAGCTGTCCAGCACAGGGCTCTGAGGACACACTCCCAGACAACAGAAGATACCTAAGGATGGATCAGACTGTAATGGGGGCGGTTAGGAAGAGATAGATGAGTGGGTCCAGAATCCAATCCTACCCTTGCTCTGCCCATGGAAATTCTCCCATTAAGGCTGGTCAGGGTGAGGGCACTATCAGGGAAGGTGGCTGGAGGGGATGCCACCC